GGGGTTATTGGTTGTATAAATAGCAAATAATCAATTGTAGTGGGGGGTCGATTGTTTTGATTGTAGTCTAACAGGGTTTGTCATCCTGAGGAGGGAGGTTAGGCTCTCTAGAGGGAGGTTATGCTCCCAAACCCAGTCCCTGTAAAGAGATTCGTTTACGGTGAATAATAGCAAAACTCATTCTTTCATTTTTGTTTCTATCTTTTGAGTGTTTTCTTGTTAGGTTCCAAACCCAGGAACCTAACATTAACATACTCGGTCCATTATCTAATCAGATTTGTTTAATGGAATTAAAAAACTGATTTTTGAAAAAAAAAATGAAAATGACGTGAAATGTTGGACAAACTAAGAAGTTCTGTTTAATAAGGTATGTTTATGTTACAGGAACTCATCAATAAAAGTTACAAACCATCTAACCCCATAAACAATTCAGTAACAAGTTCCCCATACATAAGAAGAATAACATAAAAAGGAGTAGCACCTTCTAATATTACCAGGTAGAAAGGAAGAACAATGATGCTTATTATATTAACTTGAAAATCATTGCACTGGAAAGACTGAACAATATAACTTTATTACGTTTTCCTTGTAATTTTATTATCTTCTTTTCTTAGTTTCTTGGAAGTGATTTTCTTATAAAATCATTCAGATATTTAAGTATGGCACTAAAGATGGGAAGCCAGCTGATAATTTGTTAAGAAAGCATTCGTACATTCTGCAACCAGTGACTGGGAAGGCAAAGTACTCCAAGCTACTGCCAACTGAAGTTGCTGATAGCCAAAATCCTTTACAGAAGGCTGTGGTGAACTTAGACGATGTTACAATCAGCATATCCAAGGTTCATTTGACTTGTTTTTTCTTGTCTTTAGAGATTGTGTCTGTTTTTGTAGATAATCTTTGCATTTTTTTCTTTGTAGGATGGATATGGGGATATCATGAAATTAGCAGACAACTTTGCTGCATTTAATCAACGACTAAAGTATGCCCATTATCGTCCACTGGTGCCAGTAAAAGCTGATTCCAGGTCTTGGTGGAAATACGCCTACAGAGCTGTATCTGACCAGATAAAGAAGGCAAGGTATTTGAACCATCCGATTATTGTCTTTTGCCAAGCTAAATTTTGTAACCAATTTCTGTAGACAGGGAGTGTGATTCGCATAAGTAACTCCAATTTACAGCGTAATTTACTATTAAGTAACTCCGATACTATTCTTCGATTACTTTTTTATTTTTTTCATCTTTATGCTGCTTTTCAAATTTTAAGGAGTAGTTTCTCAAGCAGTACTAGGAAGATGCAGTTCTGAAATTTCCACTCAGCTTTCTTCGTTCTATTTCTCAACCTTCATCTTCAATAAAGTTCAGAGGATGTTTGGTTTGTTATTTTCTCATCAAACCAACACCCTCTTAAGCTTGCTGCTTCGACATTCAGAATGCTGTACTTAAATTTTTGAAAACTAATAGTAGAGCTTTGTGGCATCTATGGTGCTAGTTGATCATTTTTTTTATCATGTTTAATGTTTATATTTCATTGACTATGGATATTGTGCTTCTGTCAGTGGAAAAATGTCATGGGAGCAAGTTTTAAGATATGCAAGCTTGCGGAAGAGATATATCTCTCTGTATGCTTCACTACTTAAATCTGATCCCACTCAGGTTACAATTAGTGGCAACAAAGAGATTGAAGACCTAGATCGGGAGCTTGATATTGAACTTATATTGCAATGGAGGTACGTTGTTTGTTTTGATACGGTAGTATTTAATATTAATATTGAATTAATTATATGAATAAACAAGGATATGTGAGCCTATAATTGATTCAACTATAGTATCATAACCACAGTCTATGTACATCTGCATACATTTAAAAAAATTTAATGTATCATTGGTTAGAAATTAGAAAAAGCATCTTTGCAGTTTTCATTGCCATTTTATTAAGAATTCTTACTCCTCAATCTGCTAATATTGATTTTACTTCATTTGAGCAGGCAAGCTCTCTTTTTGCCTTTGTACATTGTTGAGTTTTGGTGTGTATGATTTGGAAACTGTATTATTATAAAGAAAGATCTATAGATGCTTCTTTTATTCAATGTATGAGCATCAGATATCTCTTCCTTCACATGCACTTTTACAAATTTGGAATCCACATGATTGGGATTAATCAAAAGTTTTATGCATGTTATATGTTACTCATATATTAGACCTTGGAACCCTCTTGTTTTATTCTTTGACCTTGAAGTATTATATATTTGCAGAATGTTGGCTCACAAGTTTGTGGAACAATCGGCAGAGTCAAACCATAACATTAGGAAACAGAAAGCACAGAAATCTTGGTGGTCATTTGGATGGTGAAGTCTTGTCTTAAGATATTTTCCTGTATCAGTAACTAACTAATGAATTTTGTTTTAGATTTTACTGTGAAGCTCATCTATGATCATGCTACAGGACCAGTGAATCCCCTAAAGAAGAAAGTGATGAATTCAATTTCAGTGAAGAGGACTGGAACCAGTTAAATAAAATAATAGGATATAAGGAGGGCGACGATGGACAATTGGCTGTAAATAGCAAGGCGGATGTTATTCATACTTTCGTGGAAGTTCACATGAATCATAATGCTTCAAAGCTTATCGGTGAAACCAAAGAGTCCGTTGCTGAATTATCATGTGAAGACCTTAGTTGCTCAATAAAGCTTTATCCAGAAACAAAGGTCTTTGACATTAAGTTGGGCTCATACAAGTTATCATCACCAAGAGGTCTCCTTGCTGAGGTCTGGCTGTCATTGACGTTAATGTTCTGCATTTTTTATTTTTATGCTCATAATTCAAGTTGTGATATCTGAAATATTTGTTTCACATCCATTCAGAGTGCGACTTCCTATGATTCATTAGTTGGTGTCTTCCATTACAAACCTTTTGATGATAATGTGGACTGGAGGATGGTTGCCAAAGCTTCTCCATGTTACATGACTGTATGCAGTTTGTCATTTTGCTCCCTTCCTCTACTTGACTTTTAATTTGTTTGCTTTACTTGTTTACTGATTTGTCTTTGGAGTTTGGCCAGTACTTGAAGGACAGCATTGATCAAATTGTGAAATTCTTTGGAAGTAATACTGCTGTAAGTCAGACAATAGCACTAGAAACTGCAGCTGCAGTGCAGGTATTATTTGACTTAACATCTCTGCTATTTGGGAACATGTTAAAATTCATAGCTGGAATTGGATATTTATTAACTATGATGCCTGGACTCTGTATATTGATTACGAAGGATAAGAGGTGAGACTTTGTGAAAGATAAGAGCGTCTTATCCTATCAAATGAACCAGAACTGCAAAAAGCAAAAAACTTCATAATGAAAGCCAATGAACTTTTGTTTCATTTTTACCAAAGCCTTTAGACTTAACCCGTAGAAACTATCTGAAAATGGGACATTTGAATTTACTAATTTGGTACTCAAAAATGTCTGGCGGGGAGAGAGGGAGGAATTGGAATGAAAATGTACTAGGGAAAAGTTGAAAAATCCGAAGTCCAAACTTGGCGAGATATTTTGAGAAGTTTCAGATTTGATTTCTATTGTTTTTAATTCTGTATGTTGGCTATATCTTGATTTTATTACTAGCATATCAATCCCACAATCTCAGGCTTTTGTTTCCTAGAATAGGCAGTGTTTGTTTCCAAATTTATCCAATTAATGTATATATGTATATCATATGTATGTAATGAGACTAAACAAGAGATAAATAATTTTCTTCTAAACTTGAGAAAACTCTCTTATCTTGAATGGTAGTAAGCTGGGTTGAAAATAGGATCAGTAAAACCATATGGATTTTAGTTTTACCAGCTTCCCTATATTTCAAGCTCTCATTGTACTGACTATGTTCATATTTTCATTTTATATCTGCTGACATATTTTCTAATGCTAAAAAATGGAATTTATTTCTAACTTGCTAGAAAGTTCTGTTTAATCTTGTTGAAAGGATGTTCTAATTAGCTTATATCATTGTTCCTAGATGACAATTGATGAGGTGAAGCGCACTGCACAACAGCAAATGAACAGAGCATTAAAGGATCATGCCAGGTTATATTTTCTGTCTTGCTCTATTATGTGTGTGAGCCACAAGTAAGAAACTGTTCTATCACTCATTTATAGGTGCTGATTGGATCCTCTTGGAACTAATGATGTACATTGTATAAATAACTACATGGACTAATGCCTCCAATCATACGTGTTAAAGCATTGAAGGGGTCTATTCTATAGCTATGAAACTACTATCTAGTTTCTCCTTAATAAAATGTTGGCATATGTCTGTATGCTTTGTTTTATCTTGTTGTACTTTGTTGCGTGAAATGCTAATTGTTGACTTGTCACAAAGTTGCTTCATATTATAGTGTAAGGTCATCAAGAATGATCTCTATCCAAAGTTCACAAACCCTTTAAGCTATAGCTAAAAATTTTGCCTCCATAATTGACCTTGCCACTTCATTTGGCTGCTCCAAAAAACATGTATCTTGGGGTTGGATCTTTGATCAATGATTGATTCCCCATTATTTGTTGTGTGTATCTCTGTGGACATTCTCCCCTCTTTCTTTGTTAGTAGCATACTTTTTGGGCTTGCCTTTATATACTGAAGCATGCATAAATTTACTGAACACATTTATTGGATAAGCTTTGTCTAGCCTAGTGTAGAATAGATAAATAAACTTTCCTCAAACCTTTTATATTTTACCATTTTCACTCTAGGGTTCTCATTCTCCTATCATATGGTTTTGAAATGGGTGATCCAATGGTTTAGCAACCCACTTACCCAACTTAATCATTGCCCTAGGATTTATTGGTTCTCTTGACAGAACAGATTCGTTGCATGAGCTTGTCTGGCCTAGTGTAGAATGGATAAATAAACTTTCATGAACCTTTGATATTTTACCATCTTCTGTTTTGGGCTCTCATAATTTCTGATAATATATTTGCAATGGGGTGCTCCAATGGTTTAGCAACTCACCCAACTTAATCATTGGTCTAGGATGTACTGCTTCTCTGTTTACTTTGTTGTCTATGAAGATGATCTTGTTGTATATGCAAGAAGTGATTTGGCTTGTATCCACAATCTTAAGTAGGACACCATATTTAGAGAAAAGATTTAGGCATTCTCGATCTTTTTAGGGACTGATTGCTCAATCTAATATAGGTGTTTCTATGACTAAATCAAGCATGCCACATTGTGACCTAGTGACCTAGTGACACTCTAATGGATTCCAATGTAAAACTCCTATCTTGTTAGGATGAACCGTTGAAAAATCATGCCACATTGAGACATTTGTTGATAAACTTAACCACGTTAAAATGACTCAATTCGACATTGCTTTTGTTGTAAATGTTATAAGTTAGTCTTTAATGCTCCTTGTGATTGTTAGTTTGTGTATTGGGTCGCTAGAAATCCCCTTTCTGTAATGAAAACCTTTTTTTTTAAATGAAACTAAAGGAAACTCCCAAGTTGTTGTTGGCTAATCTGTTACTGATAGGTTGTTAGCTTTAAGAAATAATAAATACAATATAGTTGTCAGATCCTTGCACAATGTCACCAATCTAGGTAAAAACCTACCATATATTTAAAACAATTACTTAAGCAGCTCAAAGTGGAAGATGTTAAGGAAATGAAAATGTTTTTGTGAAAATTTTTGTAATACTAAATTATTCTGGATTTTCTTTTATAGTTTGTTGTTCCAGCATGTAACCGTTCCTCAAACAAGAGGGTTTCATCTTGAGAAGCTTTTTTCTAATTCTAGTTATTTATCTGTTAGGTTTTCATTGGATTTGGATATTGCAGCTCCCAAGATTACTATTCCAACTGATTTTTGTCCAGACCATACCCATGCTACAAAGCTTTTACTAGACCTAGGGAACTTGATGATTCGTACACAGGTAGACATTCCTGATAATTTTTGTAATGTCTTTTTTTTTTTTTAACTTTTTTAATCTGTTAACTGGAAAATATTTATTCAGGATGATAAACAGCAGGAATCAGCCGAGGATAATATGTACCTTCGATTTGATTTGGTCTTAAGTGATGTATCAGCATTTTTGTTTGATGGGGACTATCATTGGAGTCAAGTTTCTCTGAATAAGTCAGCCCATTCTACTAACACTAGTTTCTTCCCAATTATTGACAAGTGTGGAGTCATCTTACAACTTCAACAGGTAAAACTCTTGAGCTGTTGGAATTTCTTTTGATAAGAAGCATTCCTACTTTTTTTCTTCATTGTGGTCAGATTCGTTTAGAGACTCCATATTATCCTGCAACGCGTCTTGCTGTGAGGCTTCCATCATTGGCCTTTCATTTTTCACCAGCTCGGTATCATCGGCTGATGCATGTGATAAAGATTTTTGAGGAGGAGGATGGTGACGGCTCTGAGTTGCTTCGTCCTTGGAATCAGGCTGATCTTGAAGGGTGGTTGTCTCTTTTAACTTGGAAGGTTAAACTTGATCTCTTTCAGATCCTCTAGGTTTGCTTGTTGTCCATGTAATTCCATCATAATCTGTTATACTTATATCATGTATCTTCTATAAAAATGTAACAGGGTGTGGGAGTTAGGGAGGCCTTGTGGCAGCGGAGATACTTCTGCTTGGTTGGGCCATTTCTTTATGTACTTGAAAGTCCTGACTCTAGATCTTATAAACAGTATACCAGGTACAAATTCCTTTCTTTGTGTCTTGTTATCATACTATATTACTAGAATTTGCATCTATTACATTTAAGGATTGCTATCAGTTTCTTCAGTTAGCTTTGGTATTGTTATTATAATATAGAATTGTCCACATAATAGGATATTATTTGTCAGGAGTAGTCTAAAACTTTTTTCTGAAAATGGTAGAACTGTTTATATTTGTTGTTCAATATTTGTTGGACATATACACACCAAAAATGATCTCCAGGGACTGTCGGTCCACTGGGCAGAGAAAGTTTTCTAAAGACTTCTCTTTGGACTTTAGATGTCATGTTAAAGGATAGAAAATAGATACAGTTTGAGCAGAAAGCTGTGTTAGAAATGCATAACTATATAGCCTTATTGTCTTTGTTACACATCATAAGAGGATATTTATGTTTTCTCCAAAAGAGATATTCATTCCTATAAACTAAATTTATTATAATAAGATTCGGAATATTTAATTTGATTCTTGACAAAGAAAACTAATACAAAGGGTGAAGACTTATAAATGTAAGCTGTAGTTAGGTGCTACTGAGTCAGCAACTGGTAAACTCTCTTAAAAGAGTAGATGTTACTGAAATTACAGTGAAATGACAAACAAAAATTTTACATTTGGTTTTGTATCTAATAAAGTGTTTCTTTCTTATTTCTGAAGAATCTGGTTAAAGTGTTTTTTTAATTTGTTTTCTGCATCTTCTCTTGGTTTATATATGCTATTAACAGCCTATGTAATCATATTGTCATAGCCTACGAGGGAAACAGGTATCTGAGGTTTCACAAGAGCTTGTTGGTAATGTACAACACGTTTTGGTCGTTTGTAGTCCTACACGATCCAACAATAAGGTAATTTTTATTTTTTCTATTGTCCAGACCCCAGTAAAGGCAGCTTTCTGTTCATTCCATAAAAGTTTGAATTTCTACTCATAGCAATCATTAAATGATTGGTTGTAGGTTGTCGAGGACACAAATGCACTAATTATTCGTTGTGAATCTGAGGAATCAATGAAAACCTGGCATAGGCGCTTACAAGGGGCTATTTATCATGCATCAGTTTGTTTTCTTACTTCCCTTTCTCTTCTTGCTCTTTGTGTGTTTGTCTGTGAATTTTGTGAATGAGTTTGTACTTTTTTTGTAATCCTGATGTAATTTTAACAAATGGCAAATGTTTATATATAGTCGTAAAACATATCTGCATTGAGAAGTTCCATGAGCTTGCTACTATATAAAAAATGATAGAAGCAGTGCTAGAAATAGAAGAAAACAGAATTTATTTATTGACTGAGTCCATCTTTAATATGAATTTTCTAGATACAGTCTCAATTCTTTTTCACCAAATGAGTAACTTGAGGTTGAAAAGGGGTCAGAAGATTATATTTGTGTGATCTTGTTAGGACTTAAGTAGAAGAGGAGAGCTGATCCAAAAGTAGTCCATTAGGAAGCCTCGAGGCTCACTCACCATATTAAGGAGCTCATCTTACTTAATTTGGAGCTCCTAATATTGTCACCCTCTTTGAGGACCAACGTCCATGGTGCCCACCTCTCGGTGGAAGCACTAGCAAGTACTAGTTGTTAGGACATAAGCACGAAAGGGAGAGTCCAACCCAGGAGACTAATTAATTGGATGGGAGAACCTCAAGGTTTAAGTACTTCATCGATTATGCATAATATATGCAAATACAGTAGCATAAATACTAAAACATTACCTTTAAACACTTTAAATGCTTAATTAAACTTAACTTTTTAAATATTAAATTAGAAAGAAATCATTTATTGATTGTAAAATGAATGAGTATATGTATTCTCTGTTACACAAGTCCTATATTTAAGACCAGATAATAGACAGTTAAAAGAGTTTGTTATAACTAACTGAACCAGTTAGTTATATAACCAAACCAGTATGCAATAGAAAAATTAACATAAAAGGTACAAAGAGAAATAGCACAGACAATAACGCGGGAAGGGAAGCATGTCAATCAACCTACAAAGAAGAAGCTACTTGAATGAAAAACCCTGGCACCCCAAAATAAAAATGCACTGCCTAGAAGGTTTGAACTTATGCAAACCACTGAAACAGAAAAATGGAACCCTTTTGGTGCAGCCTTGAGTGTATGAGAGAACACTCTTGCCAACGGACTTTCATGGCTTCTGGGAATAGAGAGAAAACGAAGAAAAAGGTTGTGTAGGGTGAGTTGCTAGGTTTTTGATTGTATGTGCCTATCAGAATAAGTGTAGGTGAAGAAAATGGGTTTGGGTTTTTACTTGAAAAGGCAACTTTTTTCTTTGATAGAGCTTGAATCTAATTTGCAAGATCCAATGCATAAAATATTTCTCTTTACACATCTCATATGGATGTCGCTAAAGCTACTCCTAGCAAAGTCAATTTTTTTCATGAGTCAGGATTAGCTCCAAAAGTTAGTTGTTGAGAGAGTTTCTTCAATATACAACACCAGAGGAGACAAAAGCATCCTAACTTGATCCAAGAACAGCTCAAACGCCATGGGGAAGTGCTGCTTCTTCTAACATACTTGAACCTTTGGAAAATTTCTTGAATAATAATTGTGAACTTGACCTTGATCACGGGCATTGATTAAAAGAACTTTATCCTGTACCAAGTATTCTATTTCTCATTTTGGGACCACTAAATATCTTTCTATGCAGCACCAGAGTTTCCTCTATCCCATTGATGGAATTAGAGTCTCTATATTAGTTCAAGGAGCATTGAAGGATGAGAATTAGGTTCAAGCCACAAATAAAGAAATGGGGTGCCTTAGTAAAGAACCACACATTACAATTTGTTGATAGACCACTAGATAAAAAGGCAGTAGGATGCAACATGGCACATTAGACCATTACAAAGCAAGGTTGGTTGCTAAAGGATATACTTTGACTTGTGGTGTTGATTAATAGGTGACATATTGATTAATAGGTGACATTTGCTCCAGTGGCTATGATGAATACTATTAGAACCATTCTCTTATGGACAACTTATTCTGGTTGGGAAGCGCTACTGTTAAGCACAAACAAAGTCCCACATCGGATAAAATAAGAGATCGACATGGGTTTATATACACATAAGATATCTCCATTGGTAAGAGGCCTTTAGGAGTGGTACTAAATGCAAATCCGTGAGGGCTTGGCCCAAAGGGAACAATATCTTGTTAGTGTGGAGATCTATGTGTATGTGTGTGTTGAACCTCCCTACAAACTTGTGTTAGAGATCCCCCCATTGAGTATGACAGTTTGCCGAGGTTCTTCTCCTCTTACTATAAAAAAAACTTCTGAAAAGGGATGGTAATTTTTCTCCTCAAAAAATCTGTACCCAGATTGGGTCGTACTCCTGATTTAGGCCATGAAGAAATTTAAAAATTCTTCCCTTTTCAATGAATTCAACAAGTGCGACAACATCTGTTTTACAAATCTTTATTGTTTGGTTCTGATCGAATTCCATTCAAAGACCATTCAGGATTCTGTGATATTCTGATACAGAAAGAGAGTTCTGTTTTGTATTAAATATCTCGTTTTCAATGTCATAGTAAGCAGCAAGATCCTTTTTTAATGAAAAAGTACTCTGTAAATCATCCCATATTTCTTTTGCAGAAGAATGAAACATATAATTTCTACTTATCTTAGGAATCATGGATTGCCACATCCAAGTCATAATTAATGAATCTTCATTGTCCCAAATTGAAAAATGAGTGTCGTCTAGTCCTGGTCCTCTTCCATCTATGTGATCAAGTTTGAACGACCCTTGAGAACCCTTCGAATAAATTGGCTCCATTGTAAGAAATTATGACCATCCAATTGAAACCTACCCCTTATATTTGGTAGGTCATTAGGTACCCCCAAAGGAATAATTTTTACTTCAGACATCCTGTAGAATGCAACTAGGAGTCTCCGGTGACCTTTTTTCGAGACGACGACGGCGTGTAGGTCACACTGAGAAAAGGAGCAAAACTTCAAACTCAGATCTACTCAAATATAGGCCAAACAGGTCGTCATCGACCCTAGGAACAAACTCAGGAGGCTCCGACGACCCTGTCTGTGACAGAGCGACGAGTGGGTCTCGTCGGAGGTGGTCGCGTGGGCTATACTCGCCGGCGACGATGACGGCACGTGGCGGCGCCTGACGACTTTTCTCACGGAAGGACTTTCAGCGTTATGGTCGCCGGAGTTGGGCGCACCTTTCTGCCCTATCAATGACCCTAACCGACGATGGCAGCAATGACAGTGGTCGGACAGCGGGGTGGCGCGACTATGTAGCGGAACGGAGCCCTAAGATCAGGAGCTCTGACACCATGGAAAGTTAAATATTTATGTAATTTATCTTTCAATTGGAAAGGTTGAGGTTGGTCATTCTCTTTCTATTGTTTGGTTGTAACATGTATTTAGACCCCTTAAAGTTGGTTACCACTACTTATAGCTTTCTATAAAAAGTTGATGGCAAAGTAGACCATTTGGAATGACAATGGTTACAATTTGGATAGGTATAAATGAAGATAACAATTTTATCAGCTTTGATATCTTCACTCATGTTTTAAGTCAATAAACACATATCAATTGAAACACTATTGGATGTATTAAAATAAAAATTAATAGGAATCCAAGTGTGAGTCCAAGTCCCATATTGGATAGAAATTAGAAATTAGAGCACTATATAAAGATGAAAGACCCATTAACCCATAGCCTTAAGGTTTTGGGTAGAGAGTGGTGTCAATTCTTTATATGGTTGGGCTCATATCTCATTTGGTATTGTGTCTTCTCGGTGAACCCCCCTCCTTGATAGACCCAACAGCTACAATTTGAAGTGAGAAAAACTCTTGTATGGAAATTTAGAGGAAGAAGTCTAGGCAGTAAGTCCTCTAGGTTATGGATCTACTGAAGAGGGGAATAAAATGTGCAGGTTAAAGAAAGTTTTATAAGAGTTAAGCATTCACCTTGTGCGTGGTTTGGGATAATAACATGGTCAAGGTGATCATACCTTGTTCATCATACTTTACCAGAATGTAAACTTAATCTACTCTTAGTCTATGTTGATGATATAATTGTTTCAGGAACTGATAAACTTGAAAAAAAAAACTTGAAAGAATACATTGTATGATTTGTGTATCTAGTACATGATGGTGTTAACATGTTTTAAAAGTTGATATTACACTTTATTTGTGCAGAATACAGCTCCAATTTCTGGTCTATCTGAAACCTCATCAGATCATGAGGATACCGAATCAGAACATGATATTGATGTAGGAATGGCTGAAAGTTTGTTTGTAACCGGTGTTCTTGATGAATTAAAGATTTGCTTCTGTTATAGTTATCAGGTTGCCTTTTGTCTTTTGCTGTCTTAGTTTAAAATTTGAATTTCCACATGAACTAAAATTGTGTGTTGTTGTAGTCTGATCAGAGCTTAATGAAGGTTCTTTTGAATGAAGAAAGACGATTGTTTGAATTTCGAGCAATAGGTGGTCAGGTAAAATATCTGCTTTATTGTTTTCTTAGCTGGATGCTTTGATTTCCCTTTTGAGATATTTATATTTAAACAGGTGGAGGTTTCTATCAGAGACAATAACATTTTTGTTGGAACTATATTGAAATCTTTGGAAATAGAAGATTTAGTATGCTGTAGTCAACTATCGTCCCAGCCTTGTTTTTTGGCAAGATCTTATATTGGGACTGCAGATGAAAATTCATTACTCTATAATAACATGGGAAAATACGTTGAAAGTGGTGTATTGATCCCTACTGAAAGTGACGATAAGTTTTATGAGGCACCCGAGACTTTAGCAGACAGTGTTGACTATCCTATGCAGTCTCCTGGAGGTACATCAGAATACCGATCTAGTTCTGCCAGTGACATGCGATTTAATTATGCATCTCTTAAACTCCCAAAGTTTAGTCGCATTACTGGACTTCTACCTAGTGACTCTCCTAGTAGGAAGGACCTTGAACTCAGTGACACATTGGAGAGTTTTGTTAAAGCTCAAATAATTATCTATGACCAGAACTCTTCTCAGTATAAGAATATAGACAAGCAGGTTGGTGTGGATGGGTTTTATCAAATTGCCTTTAGTTTAAATGAGTTTTTTACTAAATATTTTATTTTTCATTTCAGGTGATAGTTACTCTGGCTACCTTGACATTTTTTTGTCGAAGACCAACAATCCTTGCCATTATGGAATTTGTTAATTCTATTAATATTGAGGATAAGAACCTTGCAACTTCTAGTGATAGCTCTTCTACAGCCAGAATGAAAAAAGATGTTTCAAGAGATGGAGATGATCTACAATCTACTGCTGTTGAGGATCATGCTGTTAAGGGATTGTTCGGAAAAGGGAAATCCAGAGTTATGTTCAATTTGACATTAAAAATGGCCCAGGCTCAAATCCTTTTGATGAAGGAAAATGAAACCAAGCTTGCTTGTTTGTTTCAAGAGAGTTTGCTTACGGACATCAGGGTGTTCCCTTCCTCCTTCAGTATTAAAGCAGCATTGGGGAATCTAAAAATTAGTGATAATAGCATACCTAGCAGTCATTTATATTACTGGGCATGCGATATGAGAAATCCTGGGGGCAGATCTTTTGTGGAGGTACCTCTTTCTCTTAGCTTTCAATGTTTCATTTTAAAATGTGACCCATGCATTTGGTGTCATTATTTATTTTAATTTAATTCCTTTGGTTAAAAGAGACTTATTCTTGACCTGCTAAAGATTGTTCACTTGTTCTTTCTTTGGTGCTCACCTCAAGGATAATTTTAGAATCTTCTTGGCTTTATTCTGGGAATCATGATTCTCACTACCATTCAGGTTCTCTTAGTTTGGAATATATTTTGAGCTCTTTGGGAACACTCATGTCCTTCAACCTTGGATTAAATTTTTGTAAATGGATTTTCAAAATTTGTTGAACATTTTCTTATATTTTGATTAAGTCAGGATGGGAGTTTTGATCTTTTATTGAGGTTACAGGATAGGGTTATGTGTGTGACCTTTCTGGTAATTTTTGTCCTTTTAACATATTTTTTCCTTTTCAATAGTCAAATGGATTGGCCAGCTTGGTTGTATTTTTAAGCCTTTGAGGGTAATTTTTTATACTTTTTATCTTTAGATAGATATTTTATCCTCTTGGGTTGTAATCTAGCCTCTTGGATAATTTTCATGCTTTATCCCATTTTGTTTTCTTCAAATAATCTTCCTTTGTCTACAAAAGGTGTTGAATTAGTTATCAGTATTTATTTGATTTGCTCCATATATCTATTAGTTTTTTTGTTAATAGGCAAGACTAATTTCAGTATTTACTTAGAAAATCTTTACCAGTGACTCATTTAGTTATATTTTTATTAATGGACATAAATGAGTGAAAAATGGTAAACCTATGCTTTAGAACTTTCAGTGGTTGGTTTTTCTATAGTGAGCTTACTGTTGAATATCTGATTGACCATGTAGTTGGAGTTCACATCATTTTGCAATGATGATGAAGACTATGAAGGTTATGATTTCAGTCTTTTTGGAGAGCTTTCAGAAGTGCGCATTGTGTATCTAAATCGATTCTTGCAGGAGGTATTTACCAGTCGGTTCAGTTTTTGTTATTATTTTTTTTATTAGAAGGATTTGTCAAGTCTTCAAGGCATGTAGGTTGTTGGCTACTTTATGGGTCTCGTTCCAGACAGCCCAAAGAGTGTCGTTAAAGTAACAGATCAAGCAACAAATTCAGAGAAATGGTTTTCAGCTAATGAAATTGAAGGATCACCCGCTGTGAAGTTTGATCTTTCTCTCAAGAAGCCTATAATATTAATGCCACAGCGGACAGATAGCCTTGAGTATGCTGAAGAATTTAGTTTTCCTTTTCACTTATAACCTCTCTAAATATCTGTTTCCATAATTTTACATTATACGTAGTGTGCTGTATAGTTGTTGTCAATGGGACAGTTAATCTAACAGCATCTGTGTTGAGTAATGGCTCAAGTGTGGTTTTCATTCCTTTAATATCTGTTGTTGATATTTCTTTGATGCAGTTTTTTGAAGCTTGACATTGTTCATATAACTTTGAAGAACACATTTCAGTGGATTGGTGGAAGTAAAAGTGAAATTAATGCAGTGCACTTGGAAACTTTGACTGTCCAGGTGAGATTGGTTGCTCATAATATGATTGAATTTCAGGTTATGGAATATTAGGATATATTACAATAAAGAATATAAATGATGTTCTTTTCTCTCTCTGTATATTTTCGTTCCACTAGCACAATATTTCCCTTTAGTTTGTTATTAACTTTTTCATTGAGTCTATTTTGGTTTTTTTTTTGGTGATTTTGCTTTCCAGAGCAGTTACTATAAAGGCTCCCTTTTTATTCAGCTTTAGACATGATAAAATTCATAAAAAATTACATCCTCTTATCTTTTCTCTAAGATGGTATGTAGAGCATTCCATCCTCATGGAAATCTTTAAATTTTTAATCTGTATATAGCTACTACTAATACCACCGCTTCCACATCTTATTCCTTTCCCACTTTCCTTGATAATCCTACTGTTCCTCCACCATATCTCTATGATCAAGATTATTATGTTGATCGAGGAAATGTGCATACGAAGCTTGGGAACTTTATGATCAAATGCTTCTTACATGGCTTTAATCAACATTATCAAAGTTCATTCTCTTGTGTGTTATTGGTTCTACACACTCTTATCAAGTTTGGACACAATTCATGAATACTTTCATTTTCAGAACTTTGTGTTGTGTATCCCTCCACAACAAGATGATGCAAGAATTTTTAACTCACATAAAAACCATTATTGTTGAACTTGTAGGTGTGGGTGTGGGTAACCCTCTTCAACTCAAAGAGCATGTTTATGCTATCCTTGAAGGTTTACCACTAGAGTACACACCTAGATTTGATACTCACCCTTGTTGCTGAAGTGGAGGCTGTTCCTCTTCCTTATGCATCTTGTGCTGCCCAATTTAATAAAAAGTTCTTCTTTCCCTTTCTAAACTTTACTCGGTGATATGTATCATCCACCATCCATAATCTTGGATCTAGTCGTAAGGTTATGCTTGTGCTCGACATTGTGTGGTAGGAACGACGGTTGGTAAAGTGGAGGCTACAGTGGCACCAACAATGGTAGTGTGTTAAGAACTAGACTTTAAGTCTAATTCAACTTTATAAAACTATTTTGTAAGGTTTAGGTTTGTATCCACTTGTAAATTGACCTTATGTCTAATCGATGTGAGACTTCTAACACACCCTGATGTATATGCATCTCATGTGTGGGACTAAACATTAATGAGTGATTGGATAGCGGGTGGAAAAATAACAAATTTCGTTAGTGTAGATTCTAACTTCTGACTTTGATATTATGTTAAGAAGTATACTTTAAGCCTAAATCAACTTTACAAAATCGGATTGTAAGGTAAGGTTTGCAATCACTTATATATTGTAAATTAGCCTTACATCTAGTCGATGTGTGACTGCCAATATAATGTTAATAGAGGCTATAGTTGACACATTGCATATTTGTGGTGACTAATCTGTTTGAAGTATAGTCACACCACTTATTCAACCACATGAGTCTCTTTATCTCTATGATCCTGCCACACTGCTAAAGTATATTTCCATAGATTTTTATATTTCCATAGATTTCTATCCCGTGGTGCTTTCACCCACAAACTAATCTGTCCACACACAAACAACATGAAAATGGTGTCGTGGAAAGAAAATACAAACATATTGTTGACACTGGTCTTACTCTTCTCCAACGTGCTTCTTTGTCTTTGGTGTTTTGGGACTTTGCTAATCAATAGACTACCTATTGCTTCATTAAATTTCAATATCCTCTTAACATTGTTGTTTAACAAGACCCTCGATTTTAGCTTCTTAAAAGCTTTTGGGTGTACTGGTTTACGTTTCTAAGACCTTGCTATACTCACAAATTTAATTTCTGATCACGAGAGTGTGTGTTTGTAGGTTATTCATCCTTCATATTTGTCGTTTTGTGTTATTCCTCCTGCTTGTCCACAACATCCTCAGTTGGCTTTTTGATGATAGTTACCATCTTGATGACCATCATCCTTCCACTATGTCACCCACTCACTGTCTTTATTTTGCTTTTCAACCTGTTAGTGTTCATTCCCTGCAAATCAAGTCCAAATCTGGATTACATAATCCACATCTTCATCCTTCATTGTTTCTAGCTGATATTGAACCAAAAGGAGTTAAACAGGCTCCAGTCGATACATATTGGCTGTCAGTGTGAAGCATGAATACTTACGAAGAATCACACGAGGGATTTAGTTCATCTCCCTTTTGATTGAAAAGTCATATGCTGTAAATGGGATTTTTGCATAAAGGAGAATGCAGAGTGTCACTTGAGAAATATAAAGCTCATCTTGTGGATAAGGGGTTAAATCAAGCTCCTGGCCTTGATTTTGACTGCACATTTTATCTGTTGACAAACCTATCATTATTTCTCTTATTATTACTGCTGACAAAGCTTCGATCTCCAACCAGATTCGTTTTGCTCAAAGACAAACTCAATGTGATGGACATTTCTCATGCATCTACAACTTGTGTTTGAAGGAGGATATTAGTATATATTAGAATAAAGAGTATAAAATATATTATTTTCATTCCTTTTACACTAGGACAATTTCCCCTTTAGATTGTTATTTCCAGCTGTCTCTTTTTGGTGAGTTTGTTTTGGTCCTTTGGTCATTTTGCTTTAAAGGGTAGCTCTATAAAGGCCCCCTTTTTATTCAGCTTTACACATGACAGAAATAATAAAATGTTATATCATTTTATCTTTTCTCTAAATAGAAACTTGGTTAGAAAGGATCTTCAAGTGTTCCCTTGCTTATGTGTTCACTTTGAAATTATATTTATTTTGGGATTATTGGGTACTGCATTTTAAACCATTTTTGTTTTAATATGATGGGGTGTAGGTTGAAGAAATCAACTTGAATGTTGGAACTGGATCGGACATAGGTGAAAGCATAATTCAGGATGTGAATGGGCTATCTGTGACTATTAACCGGTCGCTTCGAGACTTGTTAGGTCAATTTCCAAGTGTTGAAGTCATAATCAAGGTAATATATTTCATTTTCATGTATAATATTTGTAAAAGCTGGATTACCATACTTAAAACTATTAGTTAATTTTTCATTTATTTTCTATCGTTAGAGTGATTTGTTATTTATATATTTAATTACTCATTTGGTCTCTATACTTGCACAATCTTTACGCCTTCGTCCATAACATTAACAATACTCATTTAAATGCATAAAACTTTTAATCCATATTAGTTTTTGTCATCTAAAACTGTAGGAACTAAAACAGATTGAATAGTGTATGTGCATGGATTGAATGTGTTTAAAGTTATGTGTAAGGACTAAAGTGAGTTAAAAATATATTTATAGGCACTAACATGAGCTGATTTTAAAGTCCCTATAATTACACAATTTTTATGCATTATTCCCTATAGTTAAAAGTTTTTCATTTTAATCCACATACTCGTTAATCGTTTTTTGTCTCTCATCTAAAGTTGTGGGGACTAGAGCAAATTAAAAAGTGTGTATGAATTGAGTTAAAAAAAAATAAGCTATATTTATGAGGACTAAATTTAGTTGTTTTTGAATATAAGGAATAAAATGTAAGGGTTGTGCAAGTATAGCCAAATAACTAATTAAACCTTGGTTCTATTAGCTTGCTATATTAAAATATGTCTTGTATTGGATGTTGTGGTTCTACAGATTGAAGAGTTGAAGGCGGAATTGTCGAATAAAGAATATGAAATTATTACTGAGTGTGCTATTTCTAACTTTTCTGAAGTCCCTGATATTCCTTCACCGCTGAATCAATATTCCTCCATGACATTAAATGATACCACAGGAGGTATTGTCCCTGAGGTTATAAATGGTGTTGATTCAAGGACCACCAATGTTGAACCCTCTGTTCTGCTGAAACTCTGTGTCTCCATTAATCTCGTTGAGTTGAGCTTATATACGGGGTTAACTAGAGATTCATCTCTAGCCACTGTACAGGTATTAACAAAGTATGTATGCGTATAGTAGCTTAAGGCTATGTTATGTTAAACAATCAAGAAAAAAGAAAAACTGTAAAGCTAATAGACTATAGTCTTTGTCTATTAGCTTAAGGGAATTATTTTCTTTGTAGTTATTGCCTACACTATATAGTTAGTTATACACTCTGCTGTGTACATTGACAGCCAGATTAAATTAGGATAAGCTAGGATTGTTTAGATTGATCAATGAAGATTGGGTAAGTGGAGAAATTAACTAGGATAAAACACTTTTCTAGCAGAAACTTTAGGGACTTAATTTCTCCAAACGAAATGCAGTTGACTTAGGTCAATCAAAAAAAGAACAAATTTATTTGGCATGGCTCAGTTTGTGGTTTTGTCTTGTGCAGGTCAGCAATGCCTGGCTGCTGTATAAGTCCAGTACAGCAGGAAACGGATTTCTCTCTGCAACACTTCAGGGTTTCAGTGTGTTTGATGACCGTGAGGGAGTTGAACAGGAGTTTCGGTTAGCTATAGGAAAGCCTGGAAATGTTGGACCCCATCCCATTCATACTTCTTCGCATAATCAAAACCAGGATTCAGTTGATGGTAGCTTAATTATGGGAAATAATTTTGATCTAGTTCAGACAATGCTCATTGTTGATGTGAAATTTGGTCAGGATTCGACATTTGTTTCTCTGGGTGTCCAGAGGCCTCAGTTGCTTGTTGCACTAGATTTTCTTCTTGCTGTAGTTGAGTTTTTTGTTCCAACTGTCAGCAGTATGCTATCTGTTGAAGAAAATAGGTCTGACATGCTAGAAGCTATCGTCATTGATCAATCTGTCTACAAGCAACCTTGTCCTGAATTTTCCCTATCACCTCAAAAGCCTTTAATAGTTGATGATGATGGTTTTGATAATTTCATTTATGACGGTGATGGTGGAATATTATATTTAAAGGATAGACAGGGTTTTAATCTCAAAGCGGCTAGCACGGAGGCTATAATATACATTGGAAATGGGAAGAAGTTGCAGTTCAGAAATGTTGTTATTAAGGTCATAGTGTCTCACTTCATCAACTTCTTTATTGAATTGCCATAGAGACATAAATTTTGGTGTATGCCCAAAAAACTAATTACCTTGTTTTTCTTTTGCAGGGTGGCCCACATTTGGATTCTTGTGTATTTCTTGGAGCAGACAGTAGCTATTCTGCTTTAGCGGATGATTATGTGTACTTGGAAGAATTAGTTGAAAGCCCCCAGTCTAAGTCTTTAAAAGGAAGTGTGGACGAAGTACCATGTCAGAATAATGCTGTTAATAACTCCACAGAACTGATCATCGAGCTTCAGGTTAAGTGTTGCTTCAGTTAAGTACTCATGGATTTTTGTATGATTGATTCTAAATGAAAGAAGAGTTACTGCGACCCAATGATCCACTCTATGGAAGTCCTCTCCCACTTGAAAGCTTGAGAATGACACAAATAATTGTATTCCATTCTTAGCAGTGGTTCTTTCCATCTAATCCCTTGAAGTACTTTGTTCTCCTTCAGAGTGAAATGATAAATCAAAGCAGACTAACTAAAGGCATAGTGCAATGTAGGCTTACTTTGATTGTAGTTTTCTGGATTAGGAAAATGTGAAATTTTGTATCCAGAGGCTGAGAACAAAGTTAATTATAATACCCAAAGTCATTATTTTCAGGGTCGGCTTTGACATGCTACTAAATTATATTTAAAACACTCTAAAGAACCTAGAAGTTGCTCAAGGACTGAATTACTGAACCTTCTCCTTATATGTCTTCTTTCTCTTTTTTAAATAAATGTTTAAAGAAGTGCTAGCATAAATCTCATTTGGCTGATTTTATTGAAAGTCAAACAAATTTGTATTCTTATTTGGTGAGTTTCACTTTATTTTTATCCTTTCCAATAATAGTGTTATAGAGAACGTGTTGCCTCAAATTCAGGTACTTACTATACTATCAGAAAAGGAAACAGACCAAAGGAAGCAACTTTCATAACAAGAGAGAAAAGTATATTGTAAAATTAGTTTTCCTTCTTTCTTTAAATGACATTTGAACTCAACCTTTTGGTTGAAGTGGCAATCATCTCTCCTTGAGTTTTGGGAGTTAGTTTCATCCAGTCCATTTCTAATATGGTATTTGAACTGAGCTAGTCTTAGCTGTCATCGATAGATGTCAATGTCTAGTTCTACAAATTTCTTGCTCGAGATATTTTGTCTTTTGTGTAAAGGGAGAGTGCTTTGTTGTTGCTGTTCTATGTTTTTTGCAATTTATTTTATTATATTTCCATATTTATATAAATATGTAATCAATACTGTATTATGACAAGAAGTGATGGTATGGTTTATACCTTTGCCGTTAGTGGTTTATGCATGTCTCAAGATGTGATGAAATACTTTTTTGCAGGCTATTGGTCCAGAGCTTACCTTTTATAACACCTCAAAAGATGTAGGAGAGTTATTGAACCTATCTAATAAACTTTTACTTGCACAGTTGGATGCATTTTGCAGGCGAGTTCTCTTTTGTAAATGGCATGCTCCCAGTCTGACTAGTTTGGCATACTTTCTATTTATTCAGATACTTAATACTGTTTTTTACCCTAATGCTATACATATATATAAATATATCATAATACAATGGGCCTTTACCTAATAGATTTAGTATAATAAGAGAGCTGGTCATTTGGCACGGCTTCAAGTCTATCTGAATGATATAAAAATCTGTTTAGGAGACCAACCTTAATTTTTAATAATGAAGTTAAAGTTCAGCATATTGGGCGGTCTTGTGTCTCCATGTTTGAAGTTCTAAGAGAGTGTCTTAGAAAATTTGTAATAAAATGATTAGGAAAATGATGAATTGGAGAATTCAAACGGATACAAGGACATTACAATTATTTTAGATAGTCATGAATTGTAAGGTAAGATTTACATCTAGTTATATACTGTAATTTGGCCATATCACTAGTCAACATGTGATCTCCAAACAACCCCTCATGCATCTTAGAAAGTGGACTATANCCCCTAATGCTATACATATATATAAATATATCATAATACAATGGGCCTTTACCTAATAGATTTAGTATAATAAGAGAGCTGGTCATTTGGCACGGCTTCAAGTCTATCTGAATGATATAAAAATCTGTTTAGGAGACCAACCTTAATTTTTAATAATGAAGTTAAAGTTCAGCATATTGGGCGGTCTTGTGTCTCCATGTTTGAAGTTCTAAGAGAGTGTCTTAGAAAATTTGTAATAAAATGATTAGGAAAATGATGAATTGGAGAATTCAAACGGATACAAGGACATTACAATTATTTTAGATAGTCATGAATTGTAAGGTAAGATTTACATCTAGTTATATACTGTAATTTGGCCATATCACTAGTCAACATGTGATCTCCAAACAACCCCTCATGCATCTAAGAAAGTGGACTATAGGCATACCTCAAACTCACTAGATTGGTTTATAAGATGATGATTGCATTCACTCATATACTATAATTGATGATATGTATAGTCAACATGAGATCTCCAACAACAGGAAAAGAGGGCAAACACAAACATGATAGAAGTTCAAAACAAAATAAAGAAAGAACTTAAACCATGAAAGAATGTAGTACAATAGTCACAATCTTCAATTTTTGAGCCACAACAATAAAACAAGGCTGAGAACACTGTAACCCTCCTAAGAGGGTCTATTTAAATCTAATGATTACAATGGGTCCAAGAGGTGTGGGATGGCCACATTTGTGTGGGAAGGTTTTGAAAGGTCAATTGATATCCAAACTAGTATGTCTCCCTCTAGTGTAGAAGGTGAAGGTGTTTTGTGCATCTACATAGGTGTGGCCCAAACCTCAGTGAGCACCATCTTCTTGAAGTCCTACATCATATCATTTGCTAAGATCAAAGGCAAGTGTTCTTAAGGTCGGGGAGTGGTGCCACCCTACACCCCAAATTTTAAAATTCTTATATTTATACATATTTAAAAATTTGGGGAGGGGCATGGCTCATTCTGGCTTCCTGGAAGATCTACCTTTGATAGCATAATAGACCTGCGAGTGGCTTAGAGCTGCTACATAGTTAGTTATGAGAGTTATTAATTTTGCAACCACTGTTTGTCAGTTAATTAGATCTAGAGCTCTCCCATTTTACTACTAATACGTCACTGTAATTACAAGTTAATGCCATGAAATAATTATGTTTATTCTCTTTATAAACACTGAGTTTCTATAAGATGAAAGGTATAATCCCTAATTTTGACCCAAGTTTTATCTTAAGTACAAATTTTGTGCCAGAGGCCTATTTTAATGATTCACTCTATTTCAGGTATGATGATAAGGTAGGATTAACTGACTTTTCTGTGTTCTTCTATTTCTAGGCTTGTATTGAAGGGTAACAATACTGAGATGAGTGCAGATGTACTTGGTTTGACTATGGAGAGTAATGGAATCAGGATTTTGGAGCCATTTGATACATCGTTGAAGTACTCAAATGCTTCAGATAGGACCAATATTCATTTATCTGTTTCCAATATTTTCATGAATTTCACTTTCAGTATCTTGAGACTATTTATTGCTGTGGAAGATGATATTTTAGCATTTTTAAGGATGACATCAAAGAAAATGACAATTATTTGCTCTCACTTTGACAAAGTTGGAACAATAAAACGTATGTTTATCATTCTCTTAGTTTTTCATTTTGGTAATTAAAGGGACAAATGTGGTTGGAGGAATGGTCTCATTCCTTTTTCAATTTGCATGCAGATTCTCAATCTGATCAAACGTATGCCTTTTGGAGGCCTCATGCTCCTCCTGGTTTTGCTGTACTTGGTGACTACCTGACACCACTGTGAGTGAAATTTTCTTAATATTTTTCTGTCTAGACTGATGCATTTATTCCCCCTCTGATTTGAATGTTAATATGATGTGTTTGCTTGACAGAGACAAACCACCAACAAAAGGAGTTCTTGCAGTAAATATCAATTCTGTAACAGTTAAGAGACCTATTAATTTCAGATTGATTTGGCCGCCTTTAACATCTGTTGGCATTAAGGGTGAAGAAGTGGACAATTCTGACTCATGGAATACTGAGGCAGATGCCGTTTGTTCCATTTGGTTCCCCGAAGCTCCCAAAGGTTATGTTGCACTAGGTTGTATTGTTACTCGTGGAAAGACACCACCCCCACTATCTTCTGCTTTTTGCATCCCATCTTCTTCTGTATCTCCATGTTCATTAAGGGATTGTATCACAATAGGCACCACTGATATGTAAGTGAAAATTTTCTCATGTTCTGCTGTAACATGTAGGGTCATTTTACAATTTTATACTTTAAACTACAAAACTTCATTAGCAAGGAGGTTAGTGCCTTTTGCTATGTTTATCATTTTACTTGCTAATGAAACAATGTTATCATTTTGCTGACTGATTAAGCTTATATTTTGAGCATTAATTCTAAGATGATGTTGGGTATTTTACTTTCAAAAGTTTTAACTATTGCTCAGGCATAAGATCATGAGAATTTTATCCCTTGTAAACACAATAGTGTTTGTGTTGATTGCAGATCACCATCCCGTGTGGCATTCTGGCGAGTGGATAATTCTGTTGGCACTTTTTTGCCAGTAGATCCTATTTCTCTTAGTTTGATGGGTAAAGCATATGAATTGCGTTGCATTAAATATGATTATTTGAAGCCATCCTCTGCAGCAGTAAGTAGTCAGGATTCCTATGCTCCTGGTGGACATCAAACCTTGCAACCTGACCAGTCTATTGGTGCGAATTCTAATAGGCGTTATGAGCCTGTTGCTAGCTTTGAGTTAGTGTGGTGGAATCAGGCATCAAATTCAAGAAAGAGGTTATCCATATGGCGTCCGGTTGTCCCAGCAGGAATGGTATATTTTGGTGATGTAGCTGTTAAAGGGTGTGTTTCATTTATTATCTTCCCCTTTCATTTTATAACTTCAGATATTAATTTGTTATATTCCTCTTTACAATTAATATGAAGCTGATGCAATCTTCTGCTTTTTAGGTATGAACCTCCAAACGCCTGCATTATAGTTCATGATTCCAGGGACGAAAATGTTTTTAAAACTCCACTAGATTTTCAGCTTGTCGGACAAATAAAAAAGCATAGAGGAATGGAAAGCATGTCATTCTGGCTTCCACAAGCTCCTCCTGGCTTTGTTTCCTTGGGTTGTGTTGCATGTAAGGGGAAACCTAAGCAAAGTGATTTTAGCACATTAAGATGCATGCGGAGTGATTTGGTAGCAGGTGATAAATTTTTAGAAGAAAGTGTATGGGATACATCTGATGCAAAGCATGTAGCAGAACCATTTAGCATATGGGCTGTTGGCAATGAGTTGGGGACTTTTATTGTTCGTGGTGGTTTCAAAAGACCCCCAAGAAGGTTTGCTTTGAAACTTGCAGATTCAAATGTGCCAAGTGACTCAGATGTGACAGTCATTGATGCAGGAATTGGGACCTTCTCAATGGCTCTTTTTGATGATTACAGTGGTTTGGTGAGAATAAAATGCTTAGATTGTAAATTTTGTTAGAATAATAAAGTGTCTGATTTCCTAATTGCTTAAGCTTTGAGAATGAAAGGGTCTATATTAATAGGCATTTTCCTAATATTGAAGTGCTTGTTAGAAATTCTATATAGAAATATGATTAAACTATAATATATAAGTGCAAATTTAATCTTGAAGGCTCTTCTCACAAGATTGAATTAGCTTTAAAATTTACTTCATAAGATAGTATCAGAGTCTATCTTAACAAAGTCACGTTACCTGCTATCTTAACAAAGTTTGTTGGGATTATCACACTACCTTCTATCAGGTCGCACACAAATATTTAGTCACTTGAGATCCGTGTGAGAGGGTGTGTTGGAGATTCTAAATCAATTAGAAATATGATAAAAGTGTAATATATAACTAGGTGTAAATCTCATTTTACAAGTTGATTTTGTAAGGTGGTGTTAGACTCAAAATTTACTTCAAGAGTGCTAATTGTTGCATGCTTCTAGATTTAATATTAACAAAATGGGTGTTGTTGACCTTAAGTAACCTATAGGTATAGGTATACGTTATCTCTGAATTAGAGTGCAAGCACAATTTAATTAAGCCTACACCAAGTATAATGAATTGTTTTTTGAAAATAGACGAACCAGATGTTTCAGCATCTAACATAATTTTTCTGTTCAATAATGTAATTGGTAAGTGTTCTTAGTGTGCATTGTTAAATATTTTCCTAATTTTTAAACATGCCTAGTTGACCATTGAAGAGTAGGGTTGATGTTATTATTATGTTTTTTTTTTCCTTTTTACTATTACTGATGTCATTCTTAAACAGAACTGTTACTGTTAAATATAAAGCCATCCATGAGCTTTTACCTAATTGCTTAAGCTTTCATAAGAGTTAGGTCTTGATAACTTATTAGAGCTTTCTCGGAAGTATTACTTCTGTACTGACTGCTTTTCTTTGAATTTGACAGATGGTTCCTTTGTTCAATATATCTTTGAGTGGAATAACATTTAGTTTGCATGGAAGAACTGGGTATCTAAATTGCACTGTTGGTTTCTCCTTGGCTGCCAGGTCATACAATGATAAGTATGAAGCTTGGGAACCTCTTGTTGAGCCAGTAGACGGGTTCTTAAGGTAATTGCTATGTGTTTACAAAAATAGAATACTTGTGTGAGACATCATATGTGCCCTTGGTCGAATTCTTGAATGAATGATTGGGAGTTTTGGCTGTTATGAGCAGTGGTATAATTTGATTTCGAAATAAGCATTGAGACAAGAATAGGTCTTGGGTCACTAAGTCTATCCTCTTTGCTACAATTCCTATTTACTATGATGTCTTGGGAAAAATTCAATTCCCAAATTGACTAACATTCCTCACTACAAAAACTGGTTGAGTTAGGTCTAAAACCCTATCCTAAGATGATGTGAGCATCATTTATCCAAAATGTGAGAAATAGAGAAGATTGGGAGAAAATCTCCCTTGTGTCTTTTGCATACACATAGGGTAGTTTATTTATAATGTAAGATATGGGCCATTGCCCTTAATACAGAATGGGTTGAACCCAATTAACAGAAACACACATCTTAACATCTAACACAAAACTTCTGCAAATTTATCTAGAACAGCCTAATGAAAGTTTCAAAGGGCTAGAATCAACCCTGATTTGAATGTAGGAGATCTTAAAGTTTTCATAGAGTGGAATGCAGAATCCAGCTGCCAGCAATGAAACCCACAAAAATCACTCAACCAAAATCGCTGCTCTATCAAGTCTGTTTACAACTTGCAGTTTGGGTTTAGGTTTTGGCTGAGTGAAGGGTTTGGCTTGGTTGCAAGAGGTTGATGATGGAAACTGCGGCAAGAACCTGAGTATTGTTGAGAAAAGGCAATGTGGTCGTGTGGGGTGGGGAAATGGAAGATATTAAAGTACATTGATTGAAGAAGTAAATTTTTTGGTTTCGGTCATTGATTTAAAAGTGATCATATCTAACTGTGGAAAACACGTTTTCCTCAATGATGGCTTTGTTAGGATATTTATCCTAATTTATCATGATTATATTGTGTCAAGCTTTATCCTATTTATCATGATTATATTGTGTCTAGGATTACCCTATTTATCATGATTATATTGTGTCTAGGGTTACCCTATTTATCATGTACTTTTTTATCAATTTATTCTTATAAATAGAAGATTATGAGAGGGATCAATCAAGCCCTCTAGAATTATTTTACAGTTTAATTCTCAAGTAATCAATCAAGCCCTCTAAAATTATTTTACAGTTTAATTCTCAAGTTGGTATCAGAGCGGGTCGATCTCGCTCTGGTTTCTGTCTCGTAATATCTGTCCGGTGCCACAGTTCATCGTCGCCCGCCACCGTCTGCCGCTGCCCGCCGTCGGCCACCGTCCGCCGCTGGCCACCGTCGTCCACTGTCACAGTTCCGTTCGTCTAAACCTTAGGGCTTTCTTGTTCCTCGTTGGTACTATTCGTCTTATTCAGAAATGGTGTCTGGCAGTACTCTTTCCTTCTCCGGAAGTCCATCAATTACCTCCGAGAAGCTAAATGGAAAAATTTANATCACTAGTCAACATGTGATCTCCAAACAACCCCTCATGCATCTTAGAAAGTGGACTATAGGCATACCTCAAACTCACTAGATTGGTTTATAAGATGATGATTGCATTCACTCATATACTATAATTGATGATATGTATAGTCAACATGAGATCTCCAACAACAGGAAAAGAGGGCAAACACAAACATGATAGAAGTTCAAAACAAAATAAAGAAAGAACTTAAACCATGAAAGAATGTAGTACAATAGTCACAATCTTCAATTTTTGAGCCACAACAATAAAACAAGGCTGAGAACACTGTAACCCTCCTAAGAGGGTCTATTTAAATCTAATGATTACAATGGGTCCAAGAGGTGTGGGATGGCCACATTTGTGTGGGAAGGTTTTGAAAGGTCAATTGATATCCAAACTAGTATGTCTCCCTCTAGTGTAGAAGGTGAAGGTGTTTTGTGCATCTACATAGGTGTGGCCCAAACCTCAGTGAGCACCATCTTCTTGAAGTCCTACATCATATCATTTGCTAAGATCAAAGGCAAGTGTTCTTAAGGTCGGGGAGTGGTGCCACCCTACACCCCAAATTTTAAAATTCTTATATTTATACATATTTAAAAATTTGGGGAGGGGCATGGCTCATTCTGGCTTCCTGGAAGATCTACCTTTGATAGCATAATAGACCTGCGAGTGGCTTAGAGCTGCTACATAGTTAGTTATGAGAGTTATTGATTTTGCAACCACTGTTTGTCAGTTAATTAGATCTAGAGCTCTCCCATTTTACTACTAATACGTCACTGTAATTACAAGTTAATGCCATGAAATAATTATGTTTATTCTCTTTATAAACACTGAGTTTCTATAAGATGAAAGGTATAATCCCTAATTTTGACCCAAGTTTTATCTTAAGTACAAATTTTGTGCCAGAGGCCTATTTTAATGATTCACTCTATTTCAGGTATGATGATAAGGTAGGATTAACTGACTTTTCTGTGTTCTTCTATTTCTAGGCTTGTATTGAAGGGTAACAATACTGAGATGAGTGCAGATGTACTTGGTTTGACTATGGAGAGTAATGGAATCAGGATTTTGGAGCCATTTGATACATCGTTGAAGTACTCAAATGCTTCAGATAGGACCAATATTCATTTATCTGTTTCCAATATTTTCATGAATTTCACTTTCAGTATCTTGAGACTATTTATTGCTGTGGAAGATGATATTTTAGCATTTTTAAGGATGACATCAAAGAAAATGACAATTATTTGCTCTCACTTTGACAAAGTTGGAACAATAAAACGTATGTTTATCATTCTCTTAGTTTTTCATTTTGGTAATTAAAGGGACAAATGTGGTTGGAGGACTGGTCTCATTCCTTTTTCAATTTGCATGCAGATTCTCAATCTGATCAAACGTATGCCTTTTGGAGGCCTCATGCTCCTCCTGGTTTTGCTGTACTTGGTGACTACCTGACACCACTGTGAGTGAAATTTTCTTAATATTTTTCTGTCTAGACTGATGCATTTATTCCCCCTCTGATTTGAATGTTAATATGATGTGTTTGCTTGACAGAGACAAACCACCAACAAAAGGAGTTCTTGCAGTAAATATCAATTCTGTAACAGTTAAGAGACCTATTAATTTCAGATTGATTTGGCCGCCTTTAACATCTGTTGGCATTAAGGGTGAAGAAGTGGACAATTCTGACTCATGGAATACTGAGGCAGATGCCGTTTGTTCCATTTGGTTCCCCGAAGCTCCCAAAGGTTATGTTGCACTAGGTTGTATTGTTACTCGTGGAAAGACACCACCCCCACTATCTTCTGCTTTTTGCATCCCATCTTCTTCTGTATCTCCATGTTCATTAAGGGATTGTATCACAATAGGCACCACTGATATGTAAGTGAAAATTTTCTCATGTTCTGCTGTAACATGTAGGGTCATTTTACAATTTTATACTTTAAACTACCAAACTTCATTAGCGAGGAGGTTAGTGCCTTTTGCTATGTTTATCATTTTACTTGCTAATGAAACAATGTTATCATTTTGCTGACTGATTAAGCTTATATTTTGAGCATTAATTCTAAGATGATGTTGGGTATTTTACTTTCAAAAGTTTTAACTATTGCTCAGGCATAAGATCATGAGAATTTTATCCCTTGTAAACACAATAGTGTTTGTGTTGATTGCAGATCACCATCCCGTGTGGCATTCTGGCGAGTGGATAATTCTGTTGGCACTTTTTTGCCAGTAGATCCTATTTCTCTTAGTTTGATGGGTAAAGCATATGAATTGCGTTGCATTAAATATGATTATTTGAAGCCATCCTCTGCAGCAGTAAGTAGTCAGGATTCCTATGCTCCTGGTGGACATCAAACCTTGCAACCTGACCAGTCTATTGGTGCGAATTCTAATAGGCGTTATGAGCCTGTTGCTAGCTTTGAGTTAGTGTGGTGGAATCAGGCATCAAATTCAAGAAAGAGGTTATCCATATGGCGTCCGGTTGTCCCAGCAGGAATGGTATATTTTGGTGATGTAGCTGTTAAAGGGTGTGTTTCATTTATTATCTTCCCCTTTCATTTTATAACTTCAGATATTAATTTGTTATATTCCTCTTTACAATTAATATGAAGCTGATGCAATCTTCTGCTTTTTAGGTATGAACCTCCAAACGCCTGCATTATAGTTCATGATTCCAGGGACGAAAATGTTTTTAAAACTCCACTAGATTTTCAGCTTGTCGGACAAATAAAAAAGCATAGAGGAATGGAAAGCATGTCATTCTGGCTTCCACAAGCTCCTCCTGGCTTTGTTTCCTTGGGTTGTGTTGCATGTAAGGGGAAACCTAAGCAAAGTGATTTTAGCACATTAAGATGCATGCGGAGTGATTTGGTAGCAGGTGATAAATTTTTAGAAGAAAGTGTATGGGATACATCTGATGCAAAGCATGTAGCAGAACCATTTAGCATATGGGCTGTTGGCAATGAGTTGGGGACTTTTATTGTTCGTGGTGGTTTCAAAAGACCCCCAAGAAGGTTTGCTTTGAAACTTGCAGATTCAAATGTGCCAAGTGACTCAGATGTGACAGTCATTGATGCAGGAATTGGGACCTTCTCAATGGCTCTTTTTGATGATTACAGTGGTTTGGTGAGAATAAAATGCTTAGATTGTAAATTTTGTTAGAATAATAAAGTGTCTGATTTCCTAATTGCTTAAGCTTTGAGAATGAAAGGGTCTATATTAATAGGCATTTTCCTAATATTGAAGTGCTTGTTAGAAATTCTATATAGAAATATGATTAAACTATAATATATACGTGCAAATTTAATCTTGAAGGCTCTTCTCACAAGATTGAATTAGCTTTAAAATTTACTTCATAAGATAGTATCAGAGTCTATCTTAACAAAGTCACGTTACCTGCTATCTTAACAAAGTTTGTTGGGATTATCACACTACCTTCTATCAGGTCGCACACAAATATTTAGTCACTTGAGATCCGTGTGAGAGGGTGTGTTGGAGATTCTACATCAATTAGAAATATGATAAAAGTGTAATATATAACTAGGTGTAAATCTCATTTTACAAGTTGATTTTGTAAGGTGGTGTTAGACTCAAAATTTACTTCAAGAGTGCTAATTGTTGCATGCTTCTAGATTTAATATTAACAAAATGGGTGTTGTTGACCTTAAGTAACCTATAGGTATAGGTATACGTTATCTCTGAATTAGAGTGCAAGCACAATTTAATTAAGCCTACACCAAGTATAATGAATTGTTTTTTGAAAATAGACGAACCAGATGTTTCAGCATCTAACATAATTTTTCTGTTCAATAATGTAATTGGTAAGTGTTCTTAGTGTGCATTGTTAAATATTTTCCTAATTTTTAAACATGCCTAGTTGACCATTGAAGAGTAGGGTTGATGTTATTATTATGTTTTTTTTTTCCTTTTTACTATTACTGATGTCATTCTTAAACAGAACTGTTACTGTTAAATATAAAGCCATCCATGAGCTTTTACCTAATTGCTTAAGCTTTCATAAGAGTTAGGTCTTGATAACTTATTAGAGCTTTCTCGGAAGTATTACTTCTGTACTGACTGCTTTTCTTTGAATTTGACAGATGGTTCCTTTGTTCAATATATCTTTGAGTGGAATAACATTTAGTTTGCATGGAAGAACTGGGTATCTAAATTGCACTGTTGGTTTCTCCTTGGCTGCCAGGTCATACAATGATAAGTATGAAGCTTGGGAACCTCTTGTTGAGCCAGTAGACGGGTTCTTAAGGTAATTGCTATGTGTTTACAAAAATAGAATACTTGTGTGAGACATCATATGTGCCCTTGGTCGAATTCTTGAATGAATGATTGGGAGTTTTGGCTGTTATGAGCAGTGGTATAATTTGATTTCGAAATAAGCATTGAGACAAGAATAGGTCTTGGGTCACTAAGTCTATCCTCTTTGCTACAATTCCTATTTACTATGATGTCTTGGGAAAAATTCAATTCCCAAATTGACTAACATTCCTCACTACAAAAACTGGTTGAGTTAGGTCTAAAACCCTATCCTAAGATGATGTGAGCATCATTTATCCAAAATGTGAGAAATAGAGAAGATTGGGAGAAAATCTCCCTTGTGTCTTTTGCATACACATAGGGTAGTTTATTTATAATGTAAGATATGGGCCATTGCCCTTAATACAGAATGGGTTGAACCCAATTAACAGAAACACACATCTTAACATCTAACACAAAACTTCTGCAAATTTATCTAGAACAGCCTAATGAAAGTTTCAAAGGGCTAGAATCAACCCTGATTTGAATGTAGGAGATCTTAAAGTTTTCATAGAGTGGAATGCAGAATCCAGCTGCCAGCAATGAAACCCACAACAATCACTCAACCAAAATCGCTGCTCTATCAAGTCTGTTTACAACTTGCGGTTTGGGTTTGGGTTTTGGCTGAGTGAAGGGTTTGGCTTGGTTGCAAGAGGTTGATGATGGAAACTGCGGCAAGAACCTGAGTATTGTTGAGAAAAGGCAATGTGGTCGTGTGGGGTGGGGAAATGGAAGATATTAAAGTACACTGATTGAAGAAGTAAATTTTTTGGTTTCGGTCATTGATTTAAAAGTGATCATATCTAACTGTGGAAAACACCTTTTCCTCAATGATGGCTTTGTTAGGATATTTATCCTAATTTATCATGATTATATTGTGTCAAACATTATCCTATTTATCATGATTATATTGTGTCTAGGATTACCCTATTTGTCATGATTATATTGTGTCTAGGGTTACCCTATTTCTCATGTACTTTTTTATCAATTTATTCTTATAAATAGAAGATTATGAGAGGGATCAATCAAGCCCTCTAGAATTATTTTACAGTTTAATTCTCAAGTAATCAATCAAGCCCTCTAAAATTATTTTACAGTTTAATTCTCAAGTTGGTATCAGAGCGGGTCGATCTCGCTCTGGTTTCTGTCTCGTAATATCTGTCCGGTGCCACAGTTCATCGTCGCCCGCCACCGTCTGCCGCTGCCCGCCGTCGGCCACCGTCCGCCGCTGGCCACCGTCGTCCGCTGTCACAGTTCCGTTCGTCTAAACCTTAGGGCTTTCTTGTTCCTCGTTGGTACTATTCGTCTTATTCAGAAATGGTGTCTGGCAGTACTCTTTCCTTCTCCGGAAGTCCATCAATTACCTCCGAGAAGCTAAATGGAAAAATTTATCTATCATGGTCTGCTGCGGTTGAAATGTGGTTCCTTGGCCAAGGGCATTATGACCATCTTGAGCGGGATGGAAGCCATGTGCCTACTGAAAAAGCTGATAAGTGGAAACAAGCAGATTTCCAGTTGTGTGCCTTGTTATGGCAATCAGTGGAACCCAAACTTCTAGTATCTTTGAGGGCTTTCAAAACTTGTCACTCCTTTTGGAAGAAAGCCCAAAGCATTTATGCCAACGATATTCAACGTCTCTATGACACTACGAACAAGCTTACATCTCTTAAAATGGCAGACCATGATATGGTGTCCTTCATGGCTGAAGCCCAATCTGCTGTAGAAGAACTCAGAATGTTTTTGGAAGTGGACCCATTAGAGGATATAAAAAAGAAACTAGACAAATTTTACATGGTGTTGATCCTTCGTGACCTACATCCCGATTTTGATCATCTCAGAGATCAACCTCTAACTAGTCATGAGGTCCCCTCCATGGGAACATTGACCACTCGCCTTCTCGTGTCCCGATACCTCAAACTCAAGAAGCGTATGAACTAGTGGAACCACCTGTCATGGTTGCCACACGAGAAAGAGGAGGACGTGGCACTATAAGAGGAGGACGTGGCACTTCCATTCACTAGCTCCGAGGGAAGCGTTGATTCAAAAGGAAATATAGTTAATAAACTATAAGCTCCAGTAGGATATTAAGTGTATTGTTAGAAGATTCTACAAGATCTCTTTGTAATCTTTACTTTATGATTAAAGTTCACTATATATAGAGGTTGATGTACTGTTTCAAATCAATGAATTGAATAAAATCTTTCCATATTCAGATTAATCATCTTCAAGAGTTTATTAAACTTAAACAGAAAAAATTGTTAAATTATGGATATTTTATGTATAAAAATTGGATTAAACCGTCTTTACTAAATTTGAATAACATTAGTTATGCATTTAATCACCTTACACATTTCCTTACTTTAGAAGAGTCAAATCCACTGAAGTTATACTTTTGTTCCAGTTACTATTTGTGCCTAATTACAGCTACATATAGGTACCAATATGACATCAACGCCCTGGCTGGAACCTCTCAGTTACGTTTGACATCAACACGAGATCTGAATTTAAATGTTTCAGTTTCTAATGCTAATATGATCATTCAAGCTTATGCAAGCTGGAACAATCTTAGCAATGCTCACGAATGTTACAAAAACAGAGTAAAATTTCTTATAAACCTTTTCATATTTCTGTTTTAAGACTGGTTCTTTTGTTGTATATTACTTTCTTCACTTCACAGCACCTGTTTTCTCTTACCAGGATGCATTTTCTCCTACTTATGGTGGACACTCTATCATTGACACACTCCAGAAAAGAAATTACTACATAATTCCTCAAAATAAGCTTGGTCAGGATATTTTTATCCGTGCTACAGAAGCTAGGGGTCTCCAAAATATAATTCGGATGCCGTCTGGGGATATGAAGGCTGTCAAAGTTCCTGTATCAAAAAATATGCTAGAATCTCATTTGAAGGGTAAACTCTGCAGAAAGACTAGAACAATGGTAACCATTATCATAGCAGAAGCACAGGTACTAGTTTTGTTGCTTTTAGTATACCACTTTCATGGTTTTGGCAGTCCCAATTTTCACGTAACTTTCAATGCATGTCAAGCTAAATATTCAGTTGCTCAGATTTATTTTCTTTATTTTTAATACAGTTTCCCCAAGTTGAAGGTTCTGATTCCCAGCAATATACAGTAGCTATCCGCCTGTCTCCTAGTCAGATCCTTCCCAGTAATGCATTGGTTTATCAACAGAGCGCACGCACGCGTGGACAAAGGCCACATCATTTATTGCCTTCAGATCTTGAGTCGGTCAAGTGGAATGAAATATTTTTCTTCAAAGTTGATTCCCTGGTATTGATAATTATCTTAGTTGCTTTTACTTACACATTCTCTAGGTAAGCTTCGTTGGAAGTTTTTGCTAGTTAAGTTTGTATTTCTTCTAATATTCAAATACATTTGGAATAGAGTTTGATATTTTTGAAGTCCCGAATGTTTATTTAAAAAATTGGACTTTGTGTGCTCTGATTGATTTAGATACCAACCATGGCTGTAGAAGTCTAAATCTTATTAAGAAATAGGGTTATCTTCGTTGCTCCTTCATGTGTTCAGCTCCTGGCTTTCTTTGATAGATAACAGACTTTATATTCACCACTGTTTTATGTTATAATATTCAGTTATTTTAGTTTTTTTCCTTTCTGTTTAGTAGATTTTCTAAATAAAAATGACTTATGATATTATATATATTATACACATAAGCCAGTGACTGACTGCTGAGTCAGCAAGTATCTAAAACTTATCTAATTCTGTAACAGAAAAGGACAGGTCTGTTAAAGAATAAGACTGAATGAAAATTACAACGAAATGACAGTGTAAAGTAAATGGAAATGTACAAATGAAAATTAAAAAATAAAGAATATCACTGATAGAGAACAACATCATGGATTAAAGCAAATGTATTGATACTTTCTAGTAAATTCTTTGGAGTGTAATCTTTCTATTCATAATTTTGGGGGTGAATAATCTCTCAAGACTTGCATTTCATTTAAAAAAAATCTCTTTTAAATACTGAACAATTCTAAGAGGAGGTTGTAAATGAGTCTCCTTTGGTTGGTGCATAAATTGGCTTATTAGACACAATAAAAACAATGTCCTGCCTAGTGTGAGATAAGTAAACAAGTCTGCCAAGAAGTCTTAGATGCATTTGTTTGTCCACTGCAATATTCTCCTTTAAGAAAGTAATCAAGATACTTTTGTTGAGATATGAAGATTCCTTTTTTTGAATTAACCACTTCCATTCCCAAAAAATATTTAAGTCTTCCTAATGTTTTGGTCTCAAATTCTGTGGCATGGCATTGACCTAACATTTGTTGCACACTATAGCAATCCTCACATACTATAATATCGTCAAAATACACCAACAATATTGTGAATCCCCCTGAATCTTAATGTTTGATGAATAGAGTGTGATTCCCTTGACTTTGTTTGTAACTCATACTTGTCATAACTTTGGTGAACCAACCAAACCATGCTCTAGGGGATTTAGATTCAGCCCATACAAAGCCTTTCTTAATGTGCAAACAATTCTACTGGCAACCTGTCCATTATAGGCTAGGGGCAACTCCATGTATATTTCTTCATCAAGGTCTCCATGTAGAAATGTTTTCTTCACATTGTAGTGTTGTGGATCCCAATCATGAAGTTGCTAATGGCAATATTACTCTCACCGTGTTCATCTTCGCAACCAGAGAAAATGTCTAAAAGTAGCCCACTCCAGGATCTGATCCATATCAAAACATAGAAATATAAACTATATTACAGTAATGAGGTCATTGGTTCTATAAATACATGAGTCTGGTGTTTATGTTAGGAAATATAGACAGCTAATTCTAACGAAACAAATCTCTATAATTATGGATTGCTTTCAAATACATAATCCTAGTTTTAATAGCAGGATACACTTGTAAGAAAGATTAAAAGTATAGCAAGGATAAAATAAAAACTTCCTAAAATACATAACGAGCGGCTCTTTTTTGACAATTTCAATGTAATATAATTTACTATGCTTTAATTTTCTTGGTGATTCTTATTTATCTCATTAGATTGATTTAATGTCTTTTAGGTTGTATAACTTAAATGATTCTTTTGACTGAGCATTTGGCCATCTTTTTCTGTTGAATTTACATTTGATTTTCAAAATTACTGCATCGTCTTCTTTTAGTCTAAATTTTTGTTTTCCAATTGAAAACTAACTTCTAACTTGATTTCTATACTTTTTTACAGGACTATCACTCTTTAGAATTTATTTTAACGGATATTGGTAAAGGTACTTTCTTGAAATTCCATCCAGACCTAAGTGACACTAGATGCTGCTGAATAATGTGGAAATAAATTAGGTTAAGTTGAAATGTCTGCAGAGGAGAAATACTGGGTCGGGAATACATTAGTGTTTTGAGGACTTAAAAAGTTTCTAATTTTGTGAATGTTCTTTTGGTATTGTAACAACATAGGATGCTCAATCTTCTTTGTTACATCCTTCTTTTCTTTCTTCTAGGTGTTCCGATTGGATTTTTTTCATCTTCCTTGAATGAGATAGCAAGAACTATTGAGGACTACTCAAATCCACAAAATTTTGTCAAAGAGTTGAACTGGATATATTTGTCTACAGAAAACTCTATGGTGAATTGTTTTTATGATTTACCTTTTTCTTATTTTTCTTTGTTTTCTCCACGTACTTATCTTAATGGTGCCATGCTGAGATTTCAGGATGCTTATTATGGGAAGCCTTGCAAATTACAATGTGCCATACTAGTACATAATTCTGAGACTGAGATTAACAATCAACTATCTAATTATGATGTGCATAAACGTGGGTTTATTCAAATTAGTCCTAGCAAGGAAGGTCCTTGGACGACTGTGAGGCTAAACTATGCTGCTCCTGCCGCTTGCTGGCGGTTAGGCAATGCTGTTGTTGCCAGTGAAGCTAGTGTGAAGGATGGCAATAGATATGTGAATATTCGATCACTGGTTTCTGTTCGTAACAACACAGATTTTGTACTTGATTTGTGCCTCACTTCAAAAGTTTCATCAGAAAAGATGAATTTGCTGAAAAGTTCAAGTAATTCTGAGTCCATTCAAACAGAGAGCTATAGAATTCAGACAGAAGAGTTTTTCGAGACTGAAAAGTTAACACCACAAATTGGATGGATACTCTGTTCAGGTTCTTCTGGGAACCGCATGCCAGATGGAGGGAAATCCCATCAGGTGAATGTTAGTAATTTTTCACTTTCCACGGGAAACTGTTCTCTAGCTGCTTTTGTATTGCTTATACACCTAAGCTGTAGTTTTCTCTAGCAATGAAGTTACAAACTGACAATTTTGCTCATGATTGAGACTCTCTTCAAGAGGATCAGTCATATGTGGATGCTTTGAAAAGTTCAGAATAGATCAAGCACTTGTGCTGTGATTTTTATACTATCCTTAGGGAAGGGATGTGCTAGGAATTCGTTTCTAACAAATTTGATTAGGACTACACTAGCCACTACCTTGTCATGTGCTAACTTCTATATAATCACTTTTCTTTTCAGATGTTGAGGTACAAACATTCCCAAGCCTTCATATCAAAATATTCATGAAAGAATAGTAATGATAGAGAAAGGATCACACAATCCTTTTATACTGGTTCACTCTCAATTTTTGAAAGCTACACCCAGTCTCTTTGCATTAATCTCCTCTGTTTTTTAAGTTGTCAAACTTTAATATCTAACCTAACTTTCACTGCTGTATTGTAAATAGGTAGAGATTTCTTTAAGCTTTTTTTAGCATTGGTTACTAACTTNGGGAGAAAATCTCCCTTGTGTCTTTTGCATACACATAGGGTAGTTTATTTATAATGTAAGATATGGGCCATTGCCCTTAATACAGAATGGGTTGAACCCAATTAACAGAAACACACATCTTAACATCTAACACAAAACTTCTGCAAATTTATCTAGAACAGCCTAATGAAAGTTTCAAAGGGCTAGAATCAACCCTGATTTGAATGTAGGAGATCTTAAAGTTTTCATAGAGTGGAATGCAGAATCCAGCTGCCAGCAATGAAACCCACAACAATCACTCAACCAAAATCGCTGCTCTATCAAGTCTGTTTACAACTTGCGGTTTGGGTTTGGGTTTTGGCTGAGTGAAGGGTTTGGCTTGGTTGCAAGAGGTTGATGATGGAAACTGCGGCAAGAACCTGAGTATTGTTGAGAAAAGGCAATGTGGTCGTGTGGGGTGGGGAAATGGAAGATATTAAAGTACACTGATTGAAGAAGTAAATTTTTTGGTTTCGGTCATTGATTTAAAAGTGATCATATCTAACTGTGGAAAACACCTTTTCCTCAATGATGGCTTTGTTAGGATATTTATCCTAATTTATCATGATTATATTGTGTCAAACATTATCCTATTTATCATGATTATATTGTGTCTAGGATTACCCTATTTGTCATGATTATATTGTGTCTAGGGTTACCCTATTTCTCATGTACTTTTTTATCAATTTATTCTTATAAATAGAAGATTATGAGAGGGATCAATCAAGCCCTCTAGAATTATTTTACAGTTTAATTCTCAAGTAATCAATCAAGCCCTCTAAAATTATTTTACAGTTTAATTCTCAAGTTGGTATCAGAGCGGGTCGATCTCGCTCTGGTTTCTGTCTCGTAATATCTGTCCGGTGCCACAGTTCATCGTCGCCCGCCACCGTCTGCCGCTGCCCGCCGTCGGCCACCGTCCGCCGCTGGCCACCGTCGTCCGCTGTCACAGTTCCGTTCGTCTAAACCTTAGGGCTTTCTTGTTCCTCGTTGGTACTATTCGTCTTATTCAGAAATGGTGTCTGGCAGTACTCTTTCCTTCTCCGGAAGTCCATCAATTACCTCCGAGAAGCTAAATGGAAAAATTTATCTATCATGGTCTGCTGCGGTTGAAATGTGGTTCCTTGGCCAAGGGCATTATGACCATCTTGAGCGGGATGGAAGCCATGTGCCTACTGAAAAAGCTGATAAGTGGAAACAAGCAGATTTCCAGTTGTGTGCCTTGTTATGGCAATCAGTGGAACCCAAACTTCTAGTATCTTTGAGGGCTTTCAAAACTTGTCACTCCTTTTGGAAGAAAGCCCAAAGCATTTATGCCAACGATATTCAACGTCTCTATGACACTACGAACAAGCTTACATCTCTTAAAATGGCAGACCATGATATGGTGTCCTTCATGGCTGAAGCCCAATCTGCTGTAGAAGAACTCAGAATGTTTTTGGAAGTGGACCCATTAGAGGATATAAAAAAGAAACTAGACAAATTTTACATGGTGTTGATCCTTCGTGACCTACATCCCGATTTTGATCATCTCAGAGATCAACCTCTAACTAGTCATGAGGTCCCCTCCATGGGAACATTGACCACTCGCCTTCTCGTGTCCCGATACCTCAAACTCAAGAAGCGTATGAACTAGTGGAACCACCTGTCATGGTTGCCACACGAGAAAGAGGAGGACGTGGCACTATAAGAGGAGGACGTGGCACTTCCATTCACTAGCTCCGAGGGAAGCGTTGATTCAAAAGGAAATATAGTTAATAAACTATAAGCTCCAGTAGGATATTAAGTGTATTGTTAGAAGATTCTACAGGATCTCTTTGTAATCTTTACTTTATGATTAAAGTTCACTATATATAGAGGTTGATGTACTGTTTCAAATCAATGAATTGAATAAAATCTTTCCATATTCAGATTAATCATCTTCAAGAGTTTATTAAACTTAAACAGAAAAAATTGTTAAATTATGGATATTTTATGTATAAAAATTGGATTAAACCGTCTTTACTAAATTTGAATAACATTAGTTATGCATTTAATCACCTTACACATTTCCTTACTTTAGAAGAGTCAAATCCACTGAAGTTATACTTTTGTTCCAGTTGCTATTTGTGCCTAATTACAGCTACATATAGGTACCAATATGACATCAACGCCCTGGCTGGAACCTCTCAGTTACGTTTGACATCAACACGAGATCTGAATTTAAATGTTTCAGTTTCTAATGCTAATATGATCATTCAAGCTTATGCAAGCTGGAACAATCTTAGCAATGCTCACGAATGTTACAAAAACAGAGTAAAATTTCTTATAAACCTTTTCATATTTCTGTTTTAAGACTGGTTCTTTTGTTGTATATTACTTTCTTCACTTCACAGCACCTGTTTTCTCTTACCAGGATGCATTTTCTCCTACTTATGGTGGACACTCTATCATTGACACACTCCAGAAAAGAAATTACTACATAATTCCTCAAAATAAGCTTGGTCAGGATATTTTTATCCGTGCTACAGAAGCTAGGGGTCTCCAAAATATAATTCGGATGCCGTCTGGGGATATGAAGGCTGTCAAAGTTCCTGTATCAAAAAATATGCTAGAATCTCATTTGAAGGGTAAACTCTGCAGAAAGACTAGAACAATGGTAACCATTATCATAGCAGAAGCACAGGTACTAGTTTTGTTGCTTTTAGTATACCACTTTCATGGTTTTGGCAGTCCCAATTTTCACGTAACTTTCAATGCATGTCAAGCTAAATATTCAGTTGCTCAGATTTATTTTCTTTATTTTTAATACAGTTTCCCCAAGTTGAAGGTTCTGATTCCCAGCAATATACAGTAGCTATCCGCCTGTCTCCTAGTCAGATCCTTCCCAGTAATGCATTGGTTTATCAACAGAGCGCACGCACGCGTGGACAAAGGCCACATCATTTATTGCCTTCAGATCTTGAGTCGGTCAAGTGGAATGAAATATTTTTCTTCAAAGTTGATTCCCTGGTATTGATAATTATCTTAGTTGCTTTTACTTACACATTCTCTAGGTAAGCTTCGTTGGAAGTTTTTGCTAGTTAAGTTTGTATTTCTTCTAATATTCAAATACATTTGGAATAGAGTTTGATATTTTTGAAGTCCCGAATGTTTATTTAAAAAATTGGACTTTGTGTGCTCTGATTGATTTAGATACCAACCATGGCTGTAGAAGTCTAAATCTTATTAAGAAATAGGGTTATCTTCGTTGCTCCTTCATGTGTTCAGCTCCTGGCTTTCTTTGATAGATAACAGACTTTATATTCACCACTGTTTTATGTTATAATATTCAGTTATTTTAGTTTTTTTCCTTTCTGTTTAGTAGATTTTCTAAATAAAAATGACTTATGATATTATATATATTATACACATAAGCCAGTGACTGACTGCTGAGTCAGCAAGTATCTAAAACTTATCTAATTCTGTAACAGAAAAGGACAGGTCTGTTAAAGAATAAGACTGAATGAAAATTACAACGAAATGACAGTGTAAAGTAAATGGAAATGTACAAATGAAAATTAAAAAATAAAGAATATCACTGATAGAGAACAACATCATGGATTAAAGCAAATGTATTGATACTTTCTAGTAAATTCTTTGGAGTGTAATCTTTCTATTCATAATTTTGGGGGTGAATAATCTCTCAAGACTTGCATTTCATTTAAAAAAAATCTCTTTTAAATACTGAACAATTCTAAGAGGAGGTTGTAAATGAGTCTCCTTTGGTTGGTGCATAAATTGGCTTATTAGACACAATAAAAACAATGTCCTGCCTAGTGTGAGATAAGTAAACAAGTCTGCCAAGAAGTCTTAGATGCATTTGTTTGTCCACTGCAATATTCTCCTTTAAGAAAGTAATCAAGATACTTTTGTTGAGATATGAAGATTCCTTTTTTTGAATTAACCACTTCCATTCCCAAAAAATATTTAAGTCTTCCTAATGTTTTGGTCTCAAATTCTGTGGCATGGCATTGACCTAACATTTGTTGCACACTATAGCAATCCTCACATACTATAATATCGTCAAAATACACCAACAATATTGTGAATCCCCCTGAAATCTTAATGTTTGATGAATAGAGTGTGATTCCCTTGACTTTGTTTGTAACTCATACTTGTCATAACTTTGGTGAACCAACCAAACCATGCTCTAGGGGATTTAAATTCAGCCCATACAAAGCCTTTCTTAATGTGCAAACAATTCTACTGGCAACCTGTCCATTATAGGCTAGGGGCAACTCCATGTATATTTCTTCATCAAGGTCTCCATGTAGAAATGTTTTCTTCACATTGTAGTGTTGTGGATCCCAATCATGAAGTTGCTAATGGCAATATTACTCTCACCGTGTTCATCTTCGCAACCAGAGAAAATGTCTAAAAGTAGCCCACTCCAGGATCTGATCCATATCAAAACATAGAAATATAAACTATATTACAGTAATGAGGTCATTGGTTCTATAAATACATGAGTCTGGTGTTTATGTTAGGAAATATAGACAGCTAATTCTAACGAAACAAATCTCTATAATTATGGATTGCTTTCAAATACATAATCCTAGTTTTAATAGCAGGATACACTTGTAAGAAAGATTAAAAGTATAGCAAGGATAAAATAAAAACTTCCTAAAATACATAACGAGCGGCTCTTTTTTGACAATTTCAATGTAATATAATTTACTATGCTTTAATTTTCTTGGTGATTCTTATTTATCTCATTAGATTGATTTAATGTCTTTTAGGTTGTATAACTTAAATGATTCTTTTGACTGAGCATTTGGCCATCTTTTTCTGTTGAATTTACATTTGATTTTCAAAATTACTGCATCGTCTTCTTTTAGTCTAAATTTTTGTTTTCCAATTGAAAACTAACTTCTAACTTGATTTCTATACTTTTTTACAGGACTATCACTCTTTAGAATTTATTTTAACGGATATTGGTAAAGGTACTTTCTTGAAATTCCATCCAGACCTAAGTGACACTAGATGCTGCTGAATAATGTGGAAATAAATTAGGTTAAGTTGAAATGTCTGCAGAGGAGAAATACTGGGTCGGGAATACATTAGTGTTTTGAGGACTTAAAAAGTTTCTAATTTTGTGAATGTTCTTTTGGTATTGTAACAACATAGGATGCTCAATCTTCTTTGTTACATCCTTCTTTTCTTTCTTCTAGGTGTTCCGATTGGATTTTTTTCATCTTCCTTGAATGAGATAGCAAGAACTATTGAGGACTACTCAAATCCACAAAATTTTGTCAAAGAGTTGAACTGGATATATTTGTCTACAGAAAACTCTATGGTGAATTGTTTTTATGATTTACCTTTTTCTTATTTTTCTTTGTTTTCTCCACGTACTTATCTTAATGGTGCCATGCTGAGATTTCAGGATGCTTATTATGGGAAGCCTTGCAAATTACAATGTGCCATACTAGTACATAATTCTGAGACTGAGATTAACAATCAACTATCTAATTATGATGTGCATAAACGTGGGTTTATTCAAATTAGTCCTAGCAAGGAAGGTCCTTGGACGACTGTGAGGCTAAACTATGCTGCTCCTGCCGCTTGCTGGCGGTTAGGCAATGCTGTTGTTGCCAGTGAAGCTAGTGTGAAGGATGGCAATAGATATGTGAATATTCGATCACTGGTTTCTGTTCGTAACAACACAGATTTTGTACTTGATTTGTGCCTCACTTCAAAAGTTTCATCAGAAAAGATGAATTTGCTGAAAAGTTCAAGTAATTCTGAGTCCATTCAAACAGAGAGCTATAGAATTCAGACAGAAGAGTTTTTCGAGACTGAAAAGTTAACACCACAAATTGGATGGATACTCTGTTCAGGTTCTTCTGGGAACCGCATGCCAGATGGAGGGAAATCCCATCAGGTGAATGTTAGTAATTTTTCACTTTCCACGGGAAACTGTTCTCTAGCTGCTTTTGTATTGCTTATACACCTAAGCTGTAGTTTTCTCTAGCAATGAAGTTACAAACTGACAATTTTGCTCATGATTGAGACTCTCTTCAAGAAGATCAGTCATATGTGGATGCTTTGAAAAGTTCAGAATAGATCAAGCACTTGTGCTGTGATTTTTATACTATCCTTAGGGAAGGGATGTGCTAGGAATTCGTTTCTAACAAATTTGATTAGGACTACACTACCCACTACCTTGTCATGTGCTAACTTCTATATAATCACTTTTCTTTTCAGATGTTGAGGTACAAACATTCCCAAGCCTTCATATCAAAATATTGTCTGCGACACTTTTGCAGTTTCCTTAGAAAACCTTTATGCTGTCTAATTTAAACTTTTTTTTTGGATGAAGAATAGTTTATAAGCAGAAAACTCAAGGCTGATTTATACTTAAACATGAAACTGAATTTTTGTTATGATATCAAACGCAGGGTGAAATATGTTTTCAAAAATAAAAATCGGATAATCCAACAAAAAATATATTCAGAAATAGTTTATAAACTGTGATTGACAGTTTTGATTGTTGCCCTAAATTTTTATTATTTTTTCATGTCTCATTTTTCCTTTACTTTTCTATTATCAGATTTTTCCTGAAATTGATCTACCGCCAAGTTGGGAATGGATTGATGATTGGCATTTGGATACAAAATCTCCCAATACTGCTGATAGTTGGATTTATGCTCCGGATGTGGAGAGTTTGAGATGGCCTGAATCCTTTGATCCAAGGGATTCCCGTAATACTGCCAGGCAGAGAAGATGGTTAAGAAACAGGAAGCTAATAGCAGAGGATCTTAAGAATGAAATATCTGTTGGCCTTCTGCAACCAGGAGAAACTGCTCCGCTTCCTCTCTCTGGTTTGACGCAATCTGTACAATATTTCTTGAAGTTAAGGCCATGGGCTTCAGCAAACTCTTGTGAGTACTCATGGAGTACTGTAGTAGACAGACCTAGGCAACAAGATGTTGGCAGGAAGGGCCAATGCTCAAATCTGTGTGTTTCAGCTCTTTCAGAGTCGGAGGAACTATTGTGCTGCAGTGAGATGCATGGAACCTCTGGTGGCTCCCATAAGTTGTGGTTTTCTATAAGCATACAATCTACTGAGATTGCTAAAGATATCCATTCTGATGCCATTCATGATTGGTGTTTGACAGTCAAATCACCTCTAACAATAAGCAATTTTCTTCCCCTTGCTGCTGAATATTCTGTTCTTGAAATGCAATCAAGTGGCCATTTCCTTGCATGCTCAAGAGGAGTGTTTTTATCTGGAAAAACTGTACAGATATACAGTGCTGATATTCGGAACCCTCTGTTCTTATCTTTGCTTCCGCAAAGGGGTTGGCTTCCCATACATGTAAGATAGAGACCTGTCAATACTTTTGCCTTTTGTGTTTCAGTTTGTAGGTCATTTTTACATTGTATTATGCAATTAAAATCTCACCCATTCCATTTTCCGAACAGGAAGCTGTTCTTATATCTCATCCTCATGAGAAGCCATCCAAAACAATTAGTTTGAGAAGTTCAATATCTGGAAGGTTGTAAAGTTCTGGATGTGGAATAGTTAGAAATTTCCCAATCTATCACATTATTTCTAAATTTTATAATGTTTTGCTGGAATTTTATTGGCCTCTACTTTTTGAAAGACTACTTAATTTGCATAAACCCCTCTTATTTTCCTCCTTATGTGCAGGGTGATTCAAATTGTTCTTGAGCAGAACTTTGACAAAGAACACACCGTGTTGGCTAAAACAATTAGAGTATATGCTCCTTATTGGTTAGAAGTTGCTAGATGTCCGCCACTTACATTTAGGATGCTTGATTTGTCAGGAAAAAGACATATACCAAAGGTTGCTGCTCAATTTCAAACTCACAAGAAAAATGGATTAATCCTTGAGGAAATAACGGAAGAGGAGATATATGATGGTTACACAATTGCTTCTGCTTTTAATTTTAATATGCTGGCCCTGTCAGTGGCTATTGCCCAATTAGGAAATGAACATTTTGGACCTGTTACGGATCTTGCTCCTCTTGGTGACATGGTAATATTAAGATTTATGTGACAAACTAGAAGTTATCCATTCTTTTCTAAAACCACTTTGTTTTATCCTTAGGATGGGTCTTTGGATATATATGCATATGATGGTGATGGAAATTGCTTGCGGCTTATTATTTCTACAAAACCATGCTCCTATCAGTCTATCCCGACAAAGGTTGAGACAGAAGATCAAATTTAGCATAAATGTTACTATGCAGTCAGGATGTAATACTTTTGAATTTCTATTGTCTCTCCAGGTTATTTCTGTTCGGCCATTTATGACTTTCACTAATAGACTTGGTCAGGATATATTCATTAAATTGAACTCTGAAGATGAACCGAAGGTTTTGCATGCTTCTGATTCAAGGATGTACTTTGTGTGTCGTGGAATTGGTGGACCTGAAAAGCTCCAGGTTGGTGGAGTTCTTAGTTGATATATTGCTGCAATAATTGACATCATTTAATATATCTTACACTTTTTCTGAACAAAAAGATAGTAAATTTATAGAAGTTCATATTTTGAATTGTTGAAGATAATATTATTGACAAGTTTTGTGATTGTGGTATTGCTTTGATTACACCATGCTAAGCCTCCTATTAAGAATGTGTATTATAGGAGAAACAGAAAATGCTTCAATGTACGGCCAATTAGGTGAAGTCTCTCTAGGAATTAATGGGTTCGAGGTTATCAATAGTGGCTAACTTTCTATGGTGCCTATGGTGGTGAGCAAAAATATGCCATATAAATATAGCAAATGGCATAGCGGCTTATGGTGGAAGCAATAGCAGACAATACATTTGTGTATATATATACTAAAAAAAACTTTAAAAGTGACTTTTTTAAGACTAAAAGCATGTTTGTAATAGCATCACTGTGCTATCTACAATCCTAACTTGGTTGACACTCTAGTCAACATCAATCATCTTTTGGAATTTAATGGGTTCAAGTTATCAATAGCGGCTTACTGCTTGTGGTGGTGAGAAAAAAGCGGCTTATGGCAGAAGCAATGGCAGACAATACATTTGTGTGTGTATATAATGAAAAAAAACTGTAAATGACATTTTTTAAAACTAAAAGCAAGTTTGCAATAGCATGAGTATGCGCTCAACAATCTTAACTAGGTTGTGTATATATACTGAAGCAATGGCAGAAGCGATGGCAGACAATACATTTGTGTGTGTATATACTGAGAAAAACTGTAACTGACCTTTTATAAAATTAAAAGCAAGTTTGCAATAGCATCAATATGCTCTCTACAATCTTAACTAGGTTGACTCTCTAGACAACATCAATCCTCTGCAACATACTTTGATATTATGAAAAGAGGAAAAAAAACATATACATGATCGGGCCAAACCAAACTCATCAAAAAATTTTATAAAAATGTAAGCGATATTTGTCACTAAAGAAATCAATATTACAAAAGTAAAAGGCATGACACCCTACTAACTATCAATACGATATCTAATTCCCAGTGCTGCAAGTAACTCAGCACACATATTACCCCATTCTCTCTCTATATGTATTTGTGTGTGTGTCAATATGTGAAACTTTATAAACCTCATCTCTTTAAGAGCTATACAATTTAACCATCTTTTCAAAAGCCTCCAAGTTAGGACCAAACACATTGAGATTGATTGTCATTTTACTTGAGAAAATATTATATTTGAAGATATCGAGATTAAGTTTCTTAACTAAAGTGATCAATTAATAAATGTTTTCACTAGGTCTTTACGGAACTTTGAATTGGTTATATTTGTAACAAACTTGATATGTATAATTTATATGCACTGGCTTGAGAGGAGAGTGCTAGATGTTGTTAAGAAATCATTAGATATTGTTAATTACAATATCATGTGAATTTGGGCTTAGTCCATATTTTCGTTTAGGATTATTCATTATAAATACATTATCCTATGTGTATATTCTACATAAGAGAATTAATCATATATCTAGTTTTTAACTATTTTCTCATTGGTTGTTGCCTATACAAAAAAATTTCCATCCGTATTTTCAAACTTCTGTGATCAATCATCATCTTATTGAGTTTAAATGATGAGATGGTCTTTTTGTGCTAAATGTAGGTGAAACTTGAAGGCAGTAGTTGGTCATTTCCTCTTCAAATTGTAAGAGAGGACACAATCTCACTTGTCTTGAGGATGAATGATGGTACTATCAAACTTTTGAGAACTGAAATTCGAGGATATGAAGAGGGATCCCGTTTTATTGTGGTTTTCCGCCTTGGATCATCTGATGGTCCTATCAGGTACAGATATGCAAGTTTAGATTGGCCTACCCTTTACTTGTAAGCACGACTAGCATTCTTATCTAGTTCATATCACAAGTGGTGAATGATTTGGATATGGTTTGCCAGTACAAGGTAATAATAATGAAAGTATGTATAGGATCATTCTTACACACAGATTTTCAGCTTGCTCCTTTTTGTTATTAAGTGTCATATCTAATTTTTATTATAACTAGTCATAATTATCATATGGCTTTTGGAATTCATGTGATGTAGTGTCTTATTTGCACTGCTGCAATTACTTGTCAGTTTTATGTTGTGTTATTTAGATTGACTGCTTGAAATTAATCTGAAAGGAGAAGGCATATGAATGACTTCTATAATATATTTCTTAAGAGGGAGAAAATGTTTTTTTGTCCCTAATATTTGCTTCTGTAATGAGAAAAATGGACAAGAAAATTTGTGTACAGGTTCTTTCAAAGGGTTGTGATGCAAAATGTAAATGTAATTAATGAAGTACTAAAGTTACATTCTCTTTTCTTCATCATTAGGTGGGGAATCTTGTAGCTTGAGTGCCATGTTAAAGACCTTATTTTACTCAATGTAAAACTCAACAATATCAAGTCCATTAAGAACTGACATTCGCAACAACTTCACTCTATCAAATATTAACTAGATGGTAGTCTTTTCCATTACATTGACAACAACTTCACTCTATCAAATATTAACTAGATGGTAGTCTTTTCCATTACATTGACAACTTTATTCGCTATAAGTATTTTCTATACTGCCCCTTAATCAATCCTATAGGTATTCTTTTCTGCAGCCAAAATGTTGATAAAAGTGATTGTTATAACTTACTAACAAGGAAAGAGAATCCAACCAAAGGACTAGTGTAATTAGTGGTAGAGTCTAATGGCTTGAGTACCATACTATGCTCCTTCTACTGAATGTGAGGCTCATAACAAACAGTTATGCATCAATTATAATCTTTAGCAGTAAGTATATAAAGAAAAAACACCCCATCCTGAAAAAACCACCACCTCTAACCAGATAACTTATTAGGGATAGAAACAAATTAGTTTATACTAGGTTTCACATGATAGATTCAGTGTCTTTCCATTATTTCTGTGTAAATATGACACTGAAGCTTGTATGACTGTATTTCTTTGGGAGAGAAACTGACTTTATCTTAAACAGGATTGAGAACAGAACGCCAAACAAGGCACTTAGCATTCGGCAGTCTGGATTTGGTGAAGATGCTTGGATTCAGTTGCAACCTCATTCAGCAAAGAACTTCTCTTGGGAAGATCCATATGGCAATAAGTTTTTAGATGCTAAACTTAGAGATGGTGATAGCAATGCAATTTGGAAACTTGATTTGGAAAGAAGTGGATCATCTTCGGTAGAATTTGGGTTGCAATTCCATGTGATAGATAGGGGAGATATAATAATTGCAAAGTTTACCAATGATAGGATGCCAAGCTCAAGTTCAAATGAAGAGATTAGAGGCCCGGAGACTTCTGGTAAAGGGGGAGTTTCTGGTGCTCAGGATGAGATGCAGAGCAGTGTTACTCCCTTTGAGCTCTTAATAGAGTTAGGGGTGGTTGGAATTTCTTTGGTGGACCATAGACCGAAGGAGCTCTCCTATTTATACTTAGAAAGAGTGTCCTTAACATATTCAACTGGCTACGATGGTGGAAAGACAAGCAGGTAACAGCCTTATCATTTTAAGATGCATATCCAAATGAAGCATGTATCCAAAGAGCATGTTTTGGTAAATAAAAAAATAAAAAAGTTACTTTAAATGTCTATTCTGTAGAAAAGAGATGACAATTTTTTGATTTGATAATACTTTTGATTTTTTTTCTTAGGACATGATGACGGTTTTTGTGTGGGACATTTTCTCTCTCTTTTCCTACATGCCTTTAATGTCTACCATTAATTTCTCTTGAACCCTGTTTAATAGGTTCCTAGTTTGTTGACCTATGTGAGTGTACTGGTTGCTTCATTTTATGCCTGCATCAAATAACTCATAAATATAGTTTGTTGGTTTTTTTCACCTCAGTATTAAGTGAAATGTGTTGACATGCAGTCCATATAACAGTACAAGTTATCCCTCTCTTATGCAACTGTTATGCTATACATGCATTTCAAATCTACCTGTCCATCAGTGCGTGCATATGCCACCATCTCAAAAATCAATCAAAAAATTCATAATCTAGTGCGAAATATAGAGGCCAAACTTTGGACAATGACCTTTTTATCACTCCAAGCTCAATAGTTAGAATAGTCTCTTTCAGTTTGAAAGTTATATATGTTACTTTCAGTTGTAGAGTTGATTAGGTGTAACCAACTCCAGCACTCTATATACAGGTGTTTACATAATACAAGTTATTAAATAGATTACTGATTACACATAAAAATACTATATGATGGTTTAGTCCCACATCAATTAGACATGTAGTTTAAATAGAGCTTATGAAGTATGAACAATTGTTAATTTACTAGTTAATTTCGTAAAGTTAGGCATATCTGAAGCCCGAATTCTAAGATAGTATTAGATTCTATCTTAGACTTATTCTTGGGCCACTTTGCATTTGCACGCTCTAGGTTATGAATCCTAGGAGTGAGGAAGTGTGTTGGGAAACTACCTTAGTTGCAGTCTCTTGAGTCCCACATTAGATACATGGTTTAAATAGAGCTTATAAAACTTGAGAAGTCCTCACCTTACAATCCAATCTTGAAGGGTTGAGTGAAGCTCTAAGTCCAATGTTTAAGAATATACATTCCATAGAAATTATGCACGCTATATTTTCAGTATTCTAAATTGATATTTAGACGTTTTTTACAGGTTCAAGCTCATATTTGGTTATTTGCAACTGGACAACCAGCTCCCTCTAACATTGATGCCTGTGCTCTTGGCGCCAGAACAGACCTCTGATGTGCAACACCCAGTATTCAAGATGACAATCACCATACAGAATGAGAATAAAGATGGAATTCAAGTTTACCCATATGTTTATATACGAGTATGCTATGTTTTGATCTTATGATACTGCAGTTTTCTTTTGATAAAATTTCAAATGCTTAAATTTTATTATTTATGATCTCTTTAAATTTGATGGACGCCCTAGGTAACGGACAAGTGCTGGAGGCTTGAGATTCATGAACCTATTATTTGGGCTATCATGGACTTCTACAACAATTTACAGCTAGATCGCTTACCTAAAAGGTCAAGTGTCACTGAGGTTGATCCAGAGATACGATTTGAGTAATACTCTCTCTTTACTTTTTCAATATATAGCTTTAGTTTTGTTCATATTTTTTCGAACATTATAGCTCGATCGCTTTTATTGGGCTTTCAATGTTCTACATATAGTCAATTATATGTACCAATGCATTACCAGATGACATAAATACATAAACAAGATGGTCTTATATGGAGCATGTTTGATATGTGGTGGCTTTGAGTTCAAAAAACTTGCCATATTAATTTTCCTGGTGAAGTTATATTATATGTGTATGTGATGATGAGTGTGTTTAATAATTTTTTGTGTTTAATACTTATTAAAAATACGTTTAAGATGAACAATGAGAAAAGCCCCTTACAATGTGTATAATCTCTTATTAAATTTTGGAGGATTTTCTCTCTCACCCAGATGAATGCACTCTACTTTCTTCCTTTATCCCTGGGAGTAAACAACTGAAAATATGGCTGCAACTTAGCTTGATTGGGGAATCAGGGAGTGTTAAAAGAAAACTAATTTGGAGGGTATAAAATTGTACTGTTAGGCTTTTGGATTACAAATCTTATTGCCCTAGGTAAGTAGAATTACTCAAATACAGCCAAAGTCTTCTGTTGTGCTCTGCTTATGCGAAATTTGTTCAATGAAGAATGATCAGTTTACCCAGATAATTACACGTTACTGTGTTGTGATTTTGTTTGAGAAAATGTGATTTAATTATGTGATCCTATTCATTTTGCAGCCTAATAGATGTTTCAGAAGTAAGGTTGAAGTTTTCACTGGAGACTGCTCCAGGGCAAAGACCTCATGGGGTCCTGGGCATATGGAGTCCTATACTTTCAGCTGTTGGAAATGCCTTCAAGATCCAGGTGAGCTATTTGATTATACACATAGACACACACAGAGATGGAATTACAATCAAATTCAATAAAGATATGTTGTATATCATCCTTTTGTTTTTAAATTCTATGACATTATGTTGTCCTAATCATACTTTTGATAGTATTGCGGACTTGGATGAATTAAGTTTCATGTATCTGACAGGTTGTTGCAATCGTGTTTGTGTTTTTATCAGCCATTTGGCTTTATATATGATGCGTACTTTTTTATTCTGATACCTCAACCATGTATTTTTCTATTGTCCCTAAATATTTAGTTTCTTTTTATATGTATTAGAAGAACTCCAACATTAGTGGGCTAGAAACAAACAAATTGGTCTAAGAAAGGGGACCATAAGTCTGGAGGATACTTTTTTCAATGAACAAGCCACTTGAGCTGAAAGTACACTTTTAGTTTTGATCTAGTCCCCCCACTTAGTTTATATTCCTTTTATTTTCTTTATTTTTTATACATTTAAAATTTTCTGTAAATGATTAATAGGTGGAGTGTGATATGTCAATCTAATTGGGATTGCAATCTATATAGTCACGCTTTAGCATTCTTAGTTTTCACTAAAAAAAAAGGCTGGAAGCACACTGACTCACTCTCCCACATTCTTGTACATGACCTGCATATAAATTATAATAAAAGTGTTTAGAACGCTACAATTAGAAGGAGGATAGAGTATCTTTCAAAACATGAATATAAAAAGATTGTAAGCAAGGAAGGATGTCAAGTCTGCTTACATGCTTGAAATTATTCCTGATTCCAAAGAGAAGCATTTTAATTTTCTGTGTTGTAAGGATTGGGTATTGTTTGCTAGTTATTTGTACCATTGTGAATGCTAACTGCACGTGGACTATAGAATTTTCGAGATTTGTTACGTTTTCCCTTACCATAATGGCATTATTTTGACGAAAAAAATGTTGTGACCATTTTCTTAAAATAACTAGGATATTAACATTGTGACCTATTATTTTAGGTGCATCTAAGGAGGGTGATGCACAAAGACAGATTCATGAGGAAAAGTTCAATTGTTTCAGCTATTGGGAATCGTATTTGGAGAGATTTGATTCATAATCCTTTACATTTAATATTTTCGGTGGATGTACTAGGTATGACAAGCTCAACGTTGGCATCTCTTAGCAGAGGCTTTGCTGAGCTATCCACGGATGGGCAATTTCTACAATTACGTGCAAAGCAGGTGATACTTAATTCTTGATTCTCGAGACAAATTTATGAGACCCTTTCATTTGTGTCTCTTTGATACTAGTTTTATTTTCCTAGAATGTATCCTAATTTTTTCCTAATTATTCTAAAAATTGTTGATTCAACCTCTGATAAAAATATATATCTGTTATGTTTTATCTCTTGAACACAGGTAAGATCAAGGAGAATCACTGGGGTTGGGGATGGGATCATTCAGGGAACGGAAGCTCTTGCCCAAGGTGTTGCCTTTGGTGTCTCCGGTGTAGTGAGAAAGCCTGTGGAGAGTGCTCGAGAGAATGGTCTCCTAGGATTGGCTCATGGGCTTGGACGTGCCTTTTTAGGTTTCATTGTGCAACCAGTAAGCGGTGCCCTCGATTTTTTTTCTTTGACTGTTGATGGAATTGGTGCTAGTTGTTCCAAATGCTTTGAGGTTTTCAACAGCAAGATTGCATTGCAAAGAATTAGAAATCCTCGGGCTGTACATTCTGATGGGATACTAAGAGAATATTGTGAGAGACAAGCTATGGGGCAGGTATGTTAATTAAACGCATCTCCACAAGTACAATTTAAGATTTAAAGTGATATTTTTTTCCTGCAAGAAGGGGGGAAACAAGAAACATATTTTTCATTTGTCCCCGTCAATTTTATTGTCTAGATAGATACTTTGGGCTCATCTAAACTAATTGCAGAAGTTATATTTGTAGTGTACTCTCAAATTTAGGAGAAATGATATGATTGCATTATTATGATATACTTTAGATTTTTATATATATATATATATATATATATATATATATATATATATATATATATAACCTGCTGACTATTTTGGGAAATAGGGACAGCTTATTTTAGGGGACAAAACCATGTGATTATAGGATTGCTTCTAAATAGAAAAGCCTAGTGTTAATAGCGAGATACAGTAGCGGTAAAGAATAAAAAGACAGCAAGACTAATGCAAAACTTTCTAAATGCATCCCTCAAGTGATGAATAAAATATTCTCCATTTTAGGCTTAGACATAATTCTTTCGAAGCTAATATTGTTAAGTTGCTTGGTGAGTATATCTACAAGTTGATTTTAAATGGATACATATGGGAGAAAATTCAGCCTCTAACTAGTTTTTCTTTGATAAAATGTTTGTCCAACTTGATATATTTAGTTGTATCATACCACACCTGATTGTGGGCTATACTAATTGTAGATACGCAATATAACTTAATAGGTTCTTCCCACCTTATCTTCAAATCTTTCAATATAATTCAGCCATGAAAGCTCATATATTTCTCATGCAATGCTTGGAATTCTTCTTCACCGCCACGATTTGTTTTCCTTCTTGTGAGCACTAGGTTTCCACCAAGGAAGATGTGATATTCAGTAGTTGACCTTCTATTCACAACCAACACAACATAATCAACATTCAAATGTGGACTTACAAACCGATTTTGTGAGGTTGAGTTAGGCTTAAACTCTAATCTTAACATGGTACCAAAGTCATGTGTTAGAGTTTATCCTAACGAAAATTGTTGTTTGTTGGGTTAGTTGTTCCATCCTCTATCGGACCACATATTAATGTCTACTCCCACACATGAGATGTATGCCTCAGTGTGAGGGAGATGTGTTGGAGATTCCACATTAACTAGAGATAAGACGAATTTATAGTATATAAATGGGTGCAAATCTTTCCTTACAAACTGATTTTGTAGGATTGAGTTAGGTTAAAATTCACTTCTTAACATAGTATCAAAGTCATGGGTTTGAGCCTATCTTGCGAGGTTTGTTGTTTGCTGAGCCTATTGTGCCACCCACTTTTAGAAAATTTGTTGTTTGTTGGGCTTACCCATGAATGTTTAGTTTATGCTCGAGATGTATATTTCTTAGCGTGAGCAGAGTGTGTTGGAAGTCTCACTTTGACTAGTGAGAAAGTCAGTTTACACTTTATAAGTGGGTGCAGACCTACAAACTAGTTTTATGAGCTTGAGTTAGACTTAAAATCCACTTCTTAATATTCTCTAACTATATGTAACTTCATCCAATAGTAAAAACCATTCTAAGGATGGGGATTTCTATTTGGTGCTAATAATTATTTGATAGAATGGGTATGAGTCATAATTTTATTTTAGATTGCTTGGAAAAATGAGTATTTGTAGTCACTTGAAAAATTTGCTTATGATGTGCAACCTAGGAAGGTTTATGAATGCTTATAACGTGTAATACCTTATTTATGTTTTCATTTCTCCATTTATTTGTGGGGTCCAGATGGTGCTTTACCTTGGAGAGGCAAGTCGACAATTTGGATGTACTGAGATTTTCAAGGAACCTTCAAAGTTTGCTTTGTCTGATTATTATGAAGAGCATTTTACCGTGCCCCATCAAAAAATTGTTTTGGTAACCAATAAACGAGTTATGCTTCTGCAGGTTAGTCCAAAATCACGTCATAGGGATTTAGGGATTGTGGATTATGCAAGCTTAGCCATTGAGATTAGGGTTATGTTTCTCTATAGAAAATAACTCACTTGTCTTTTCTGTTTCTGTCTAGTGTCTTGCTCCTGACAAGATGGATAAAAGACCTTGCAAGATTATTTGGGATGTACCCTGGGATGAGTTGATGGCACTGGAGCTGGCTAAAGCAGGCAGTTCCCAACCTTCCCTCTTGATCCTCCATCTGAAACATTTCCGGAGATCTGAAAATTTTGTGCGAGTAATAAAATGCAATAGTGTGGAAATGTTTGAAGGAAGAGAACCCCAAGCTATTAAGATATGTTCAGTTGTGCGCAAAACATGGAAGGCATATCAGTCTAACATGAAAAGCTTGATTCTAAAGGTAAGTGTTCATAGTCTGGTTCATTTCTGGAAATGGAACAGAGTTTTAATAGAATTTCACTTCTAGGTTCCTTCAAGTCAGAG